GATTTGACAAACGTACAGCCAGAATTGGGCAAAGGGCAGGCCCAGCCAGTGAGAACATAGCTCTAGGATGGGCTTTTAACCCTTGTGTTTAAAGACCAGCACGTCCTTTACCGATATGGTATGCATCTGGCTAAGGTAGAATGCAGCTGGATCCACAGTTGGTATAGACCACCTCTGCAGAAAATCATAATGAATGCAAGGCTAATTGGGGGGAGCAAACAACTAATCAGGATACAAGAACTGAGCATCCAGCTTAACAGCTACATTTTACCAGAACTAAGTGTGGAAGCACCCCATGTAGAACACAGTTCCTGAAGGTCACTTGCAGGTTATCCCCCACATCGTCAAATCCAGAAGGGGCCAGAGTCAGTACTCCAAAAGCCAGCCTGAGGACACACATGCTGTATAGCTGAAATTGTAGAGAAGAGTCTTGATTGAAGAAAAATCAAATAAAGAAAAGTAGTGCAAGCCAAAAATTGGCTTTATCACAGCAGAGCTGAAGAAAAGATGTCCATCCTCATAGACCACTAGCAGAAACCTGAGGAGTGCTGGTAGAGGGAGGGTTCACCCTGGGCTGTCTGTCCCTCAGTAAATAAGAAAACATTTTCTTTTACTTTTATTAGTTGAAAGTGTGTGAGTGTGTGTGTGTGTAACAAGCTGCCTGAAGAGTCTTTCAACTTTGTCACACAGATTCTCAATTGGATTGAGATCTGGTGATTGTGGGGGCCACCTAAGCAAGGTAAAGTCTCCCTCATGTTATTGAAACCACTCCTGCACAATACGAGCACCGTGGCATGGCGCATTGTCTTGTTGGAAGAAGCCATCTCCATTGGGATACGCCATCAACATGATAGGATGAACTTGATCAGCAACGATACTTTATGATCAGCAACGATAGTTTGGTATGTTGTGCTATTCAGCCGTTGTTCCACATAAATTAAAGTGCCCAAAACATGCCCCAAACCATAACACTCCCCCCCACCCGCTTGAAGGGTTGTACTCATGCTTGGGGGGTGCCTGCCCCCCCCCCCCCAAATTCTCACTCTGCCATCTGCATGAGGCAACTGGAAACGTTATTCATCGGACCACATTAATGCCCTCTAGCAACTTCAGCGCAAAATTATAGCTAATTTGCCTACAAAAACATTAGGTGGTCATAATCATCTGGCGTGCGTGAATAATAAAGTTGACAAGGACAAGTCCCATATTCTGTTCTCACATGTTCACGTTAAGAAAGTAACTCTAATCCTGCTAAGCAAAGCCAGTTGATAGACTTCATTATTCGTATTGAAGTATTTTATATTCTGACACATTAACATTTTAGTTAGGAATTTAATGTGACTTTTACCTTTACAACAGTGGAATGTAAATCAAATGTTTTGTTCCATTGTAAAAGCAAAATAAGTTCAGTAGGAATGACGTCAAATAGAAATAGTTTTGGTCCAAACAATTACCTTCTGATTTGTAACATAGGGCACATGGCCAATAAGAAGTATTTCATTTTCTAGTGAATGTAAATACAGAAAGAGAAGAAATGTCTTTGCTGCTGGGCTAAAAGTCTGTAGAAGGAATGTTCCCAAGGTCCAGTTATTCAGCTGTTAAAATAATAGTATTGGAAGGGTCAAATTTGTTTCAGATGTAATGCATGTGCTAGTATACAGGTATTGTGTAAATACAAGTTGAATGGTTTGTGCAACCATCTCGTCTTTCAGGCACACCACAGTCTGTTCATATTCGTATTCTATATACTGCAGTTTCAAGTGGCTATCCACTTTGCACAGATTCCAACAGACACACAACAGGTGGATTTAAAAACAAAAAAACTGACGATAAAGGTTGCACCTACAATCAGCTTCCAGCTGTCGGGGAGCGCCCCTATGACCTTACTCGTCTGCTTCTGCACCCCCTTCAGAAAGAAGAGGCTAGTTTCAGTTCTGTGGCCTAGGAAGAGGACCTGTATCCTGACAGCTCTCCTAAGCTTAAGGACACCAGTTCTGCCCTTGTAGATGCAGTGTGGCCTTGTTTACAGTTAGAGCCGCCTGCGTCAGCCTTAGACTCGGTCAGTAGCCTGGGTTATTTTCTATTTACCACCTTCCTCGTCCATAGATGCTTAGTTGAGATTCTGTGCTGAAGTGCTCCTCACTTTGGACATGCAACACTACCAATTTGTTACCCTCGCATTCGGCCCATCCACTGCACCACGGGTCTCATCCAAGGTAACGGGGCCTGCATTGGTCTCTGAGAATCTCCATAGTGGGGTACTTGGATGACTTTCTCAGAGAGCAGTCGGTGAAATGCCTTATCGTCCAACATTCATTGAACGATACAAACCTTGCAAAGCTTCAGATAGGTCCTGAATCTCCAGATGTCAACACTGGAACCCTTTCCCTCCACACTGTGATCACTGGTGTGCAGTATTTTTTTCAGCTCCTTATCCGCTAAACTTTCTCTACTAGCCCATGCACACTGCTTTCTCTGGCACAACTTTCCTTTACACCAGACCTGGGCATTGCCGTTGGGGCCCTCCTCTAGTCATTGGTTGCTAGGACTCTTTTGTAGCAAAACAAAGTGTTGTGTGGGTTGGGGTATCCTGCTCAGCCAAGACTAATGCACAGTACCTACTGTGGATTAGTGCAGCAGGTGCATTGCATGCACTACTTTGAAATGAATGGCAACACACCTTCCGCACTGTGACACACGGCCCCCTGAGAAAATGAATTGCCCACCCCTGCCTTATACACACTGTTTTCTGTAGACACCCCCCACAACCCTATTGTCCTTAAAGTTTCTCTAAGTTTAACAGTGTAACATGCTCTGTAATGCAAATTTTCATTACTCTTAAATTAACAAAGCATTCATACACACCAGCATGGACCCTTATAGCTAATTGAAACAGTTTGATTCCTCCTTGCCATAAATTCCCCAGGGAGGGCAGTTCAGCCCCTCAAGGTGCCCAATCATAACATAGGGTAACAAGCAGAAAGGGTAAAAAGGCTTCCGCCATCACCAGGGCAGAAAGTAGGGTCCTACAGCACCCCGGATCCATATTGGCCTGCAGGGCTGGTCCATACTTTATTATTTTGTTTTAAAGTTTTTTTTTTCAATTTAGTGCATATTCTTATGTAACACTGAAAAAAAACAAAATTAAAGTTAAACAAAATAGAAAAAATAAATCAAAAATCAGGGTTAATTAAGAGTACATTTTGTTTAGAAAAAAAAATCTTGAGAAAATGACTTAAGTGGTGTCATAAGCAGATCACACCTATGATCTATAGATTAATGAAATACAATCATTGTACAGTGGTACCTCGGTTCACGAACTTCATTCATTCCACGATTCTGGTCGCAAACCGAATCAAACTGTGATCAGCCCGCGATCTCAACTAGAGGAAGCCACGACCATGTGTCAGAGCAGGGAAGATGGCTGCGGATGTGTTTGTCACCCGATGTGAAGTTCGTGAACAGAAGCAAAATGTTGACAAACTTCCTGTTTGCGAACAGAAGCGTTCCTGAACCGAGGTACCACTGTATTTACTGAATGACATTTGCAACCATGTCATTTTACACGGGAGCAGCAGCACTTTGATAGCCGCTCCTGCTATCATTTTGACAGCAGGTAAACGATGATAGCAGCAGGAGGAGAGTAGTTTTAAAGGATGTATCTCTCACTTTCAAAGTCCTTAGATCATTCAGAAAACCTTCTAATGTTGCTCTGCAAAGTGGTTGGGATTTTTTTTCTTTTCTTATTGTGTGTATTTTGGAATTAAGGTTAAGTGAATGCATTTGAGTTTGATAAACAGTTGTGTAAATATTGTGCGACATAAAATAGTAACCTAGAAACTGCAACCATGCTTTCTACAGAGCCACCGCTTTCCAAAAATATATAATATTAGGGGTTTCAAACTAATCTTCAGGCCTAAAAGTGTTAAAGCCCATTTTCTTCTAAACAGTCACGGTTAAGAACAGGAGCCAATTAGTGGACATAACTTTAGTTTTTTTTTAAAAGCACCACAGCACATTATAAACACATGGTATTGGTGTTGGTGTGCTGACCTCTACTGTATGGTACTCTGTAATGTATGGTGCACAATGTTTTAAAGCACATGTGTGGCCCTAAAGACCACTGCACCCTTTAAAGCAACTGAGAAAAAAACCCTTAAAGCTCAGCTAAAGTTACGGCAATAGCTATTAACCCCTTAGTGACCAGTGACGTCCATAGTACGTCACTGGCACCGGGCCAGTTTAATAAGACTCCCGGCGGCTAAAGACGTCGGGACTCTGTTTACAACTGTCGGCTTTACAACAGAAGCGATCAGGTGACTCAGCTGTCGCCCAATCGGTTCTCCGGGGTACGCCCCCCGCCGTGTTTCCCGGGCTCCATTGCCCCTCTTACGGGCCCGGGACTGGCTTCTCTGGTGTCGGGGGGAAGCTGGGGAAGAGGTAGGCAAACCTGCATTCGCTGATCCCCTCTCTGTACTATGGGACCGTGAGTGATGCAGATTACATCACCTCCGGTCCCATAGCTGTCATTGCTTGGATCCTGAAGCCCAGCAATAAGCTATTGAAGTGCCATCTGCACTTCAATAGCTTATTTCTAGTATAAACGTGACACTAGGGGTCTTTTGGGCTCCCAGCATCACCTTTAAGAGGACCTGTCACCACCACTATGCTATTACATGGGGGGCTTGTAAGCCTCGTTCAAAAGGGGTTAAATCAGATATTTTACTAACAACCTTTATTTTCATACAGTAACCTTTTCATTTTGTGCTGAGAGTTGTGGTTGTTACTTATCTATGACAGCACAGAGCTCTGGCATTTCCACCAAAGAATCATCACCATTACAATCATCCATTAAAACTCAACACATAGAGAAGTAAAGAACGTTAAAGTGAAAGTATCGGTCAAACTTGCTTTACATTTTAGTGATTAGATCTGCTCATCACTAGTGCTGATAACCGTCTCTATGATCTATGTAGGTGCTATACACATATCCACAGATGTTGCAATACTCAATATTTTATTCATGTTTAATATTGTTTTCATTTAAAGTTTTCAAACAATTTCCAGTTTAGAAAACAATACATTGACCACATAATTCCTTTTTAATTTTATACAGTTATACAAATATTCTAAATACAATGTTGTGTTCAGGATGATGGCAAATAAGATTTAACTGTACATAAGGAAAGAAAAAAAATATTTTAAGCATATTTAGAAACCATAGAAATGTCTATACAAAACAAGCAAAATGGAATAAATCTTATATTTAAAGTATTGCAACAGTCCCACAGTTGTATAACAAAAAATGTTTTTGCACAGTTCCTCACAATGCCCCATTAACAGCTAAAGCAAGACAGCAATATATTTTTTCCTTTTTTGACATTTTTTTTAATAAGAAAGTGACGGTCAGAAATGCTACACGGAAATACAATTTGCACGCTCTGATCAAAGTAACAAAAGATGTCATACAAGTGGAGCAAAACATGGAGGACATACACCGCTTGACTGTATAAAATCCCATTGCACATTATTTTACTCCGTTGTTTCAAAAGTAAAAAAGGTCTATTTACAAAATATTTTGCACTTAAACTTAGAAATCAAATGAGTGCTCTAGTACTGAACCGAGGTCTGATACTGATGTATTGAGAGAGGTGAGCATTCTGCTGATCAGATTTCAGTGCCCCTTCCTAAGCGCTGAGCTTGGAAGTAACCAAAGCCTGTAGTAAGAAATGCATTTACACAATGATTCCTCTAGCTACTTCAAACACCTTGAGTAGAAAACTGTATGTTACAAAGTTAAAACAAAGGAAAAAAAATACTTTGTACATTGTAAAAAGATAGCAATACATAGGATAACCCCCAGCATGGATGGAGATGAGTGTTACCTTGAATTATACTTGTTAAACAAATCAAAAAAATCATGAAACAATGCAAAAACAGCACCATGCACAATAGTCTGTAGTGTGATAACACAGAGGAGATATAGCACCGGTCACCTCCTGGCACAATTTAAAACTGGTCGAGGAGTTGACGTAGATATGGAGCCTTGGTGAGTTCGCGACTTACTCTGGAAAGCTTGAAAAGTACTGGGCAGTTGAGGGACACGCACTGGATCTGTTGATCACAGCAGCCTGTGCAATTCTTGCATAACTAGAACATGGATAAAAAAAAAAAGAAGATAGTTACCAACACATGTTCAGTACACCATATCCTAGAAAGGGTGGACATTCAAGTTTCTACATGAAAGGGTAAATAAACACAAAACCATTAGTATTTCATATAGTGTAGCCCAGCAGGCTTTAGATGTGCTGGCTACATTCGTTTTCTTGTTACATGAAAGAGTGGCCTTTGGCCGGACTGCAGGCTATTCTGACCAGTTTGTGAGTGAGTCGGTCCCCAAAGCAAAGGCGGACAAACTGCATTTTCTCACATTAACATACAATACTTCTAGATCTTTAACCCTTGGTAAGAACAGAGGGGAATTTATTAAAACTGGAGCTGTTGCCCATGGTAACCTATCAGCTTCTCTCTTCAGTTAAGATTTGAAAATGAAAGAGCAATGCTGATTGGTTGCCATGCACAGCTGCTCCAGATTTGTCTGCTTCAGTTTAGATAAATTCCCCTCAGTGTTTAAATCTAGTTTACAACTGATAATGAGATCTGCCAGCACAGTACAGATAAGGTTAATTTTGGTAATTATTATCTCCCCACCCAGCTCAATTTCCTCCTTGAGATTAGAGAAAATAGAAAAACGTAGGTTTTGAAGTTTATTTCCCCCACAAAGCTATGATATATGAATGAGAACATGTAACAAATATGAAGTGGGTGTTATCGCAATTGGGTTGCACAAGTGGAAATACACTTTAAGGCTTTTAGTTTTTATTTGTGTGTATTTAGGTGACAATATAAGGAACAAAAACAACAACAAAAATGACATGGGAAAAGTAATTTTTCTGTTAATCAGTCAAAAAAAATAGCTAAGTGAGAAGAGGAAGAAGGTAATTATTAAATCATTTATTTTGATAATTTTTTTTAGCTGTGCTATTTTTCTCAAAATAAAGCATCAAAACTGGGGAAAAAGTGTTTAATTTTTTGCTAGATATCAGCTCTGCTCCAAGATAGGTAACACATTCAGCATTTCCCATATAACCACATCAATGAAACATTGTGGCTTTGTCAGATATAGAAGCTAATGAGCTCATCTTTTATCGAGCTCTTGAGCGGAGTACTGGAACCCACACCACATTAAAAACATATAACGGCAAAGAATAAATCAAAGCAACTGGACTAGACCTTTTCCTTAAAAACAGCAAACAATTCTACATGGGGGTTTTAAGGTTTCATTTCTTGATTTCTGTGGTGATTCTAAATATTTGATATAATTTAGACATTTTTCTTGAAGATGTTTTGCTGGTTATCAGACTAGCTTTCTCAATTCAGAATTGAAAAAAAGCTGGTCGGATAACCAGTGAAACAGCTTCAAGAAAAATACAGCACGTCCAGTTGCAATTACTTATTTTTTTACAGATATACCATGACCTGGGTGAATGAAAACCTTCACAGACATTAAAAACAGTGCTGTGCCCGATTCAAAAGAGCAGAAGAATAATTCAAAATATGTACAGCCTAAAAATAAACTACAATCTTTTTGTATAATTGTGGAGATTATGCGCGGGCTATTTAGAGGATTATTTTCTACAAAAGCTTTAGGGAAAGAATATCCGCACTCCATCCTTTAATTGGACTTCCTCCAGAAACTAACTGCATAGAAATATCCACAACTCACCAGCTCCCCCTCCACTCCTTATGATGTTCATGGTGAGGAGCGGCTTCGGGGAATGACATTTTGTACACCAAGCGTTCTTGTTAGATGTGAAATACAATCATTGAAAACAAATGTGTCTATTTACCTTGACCAGTTGATCTTGTCTATACTCCAGCTCTCGGATTTCTTGATTAAGGAGCACTGCTACATGTTGAGGTTGACTTCTGCATTTACTGCAGATCCCATGTTGTGTTAGTTCATCGCAGACAGGACAATGCAGAGTAGTGAAATACTGAGAGATTGTCCCTTTCCTAGAGTCCAGCTCATTCCGTGCTGTTGAACAAGCCCTCTGAATCTGTCAGGGTCAGGAAACAAAAAAACGTCATAGTACATAAGGTGGTACTAGCAAATTCCAGGCCATATACAGGTGAAACTCGATTAGAATATCGTGCAAAAGTAATTGCAGTAAGTGCTGCAAAAGGGGCCCAAACCAAGTACTGAGTACATATGCATGCTTGTACTTTTCAGAGGTCCGATATTGTTCCATGTACAATCCTTGTTTTATTGATTGCATGTAATAATCTACTTTTTTGAGGTGTGGATTTGGGGTTTTCATGAGCTGTAAGCCATAATCATCACAATTATGACAAATCACGGCTTGAATTATCTTGCTTTGCATGTAATGAGTCTATCTCATATATTAGTTTCACCTTTTAAGTTGCATTAGTGAAATAAATGAACTTTGCACGATATTCTAATTATTCAAGTTTCACCTGTATTATTCAGACAGACCATATACATTATCATAACCAATTTGTCTTGTCAGCATTATTTTCAACATAAAAAAACAACTGTAATGATCTCTGGTGACCAGTCTGGGAGATACAGAACACACAATGACATACAGGTGGCACAACCCTGTAAGAAAAAATGTGATGGTCGATGAAGATTAAATCGATCCCTGAGTGAGAATTGTGTATGGAGTAGAGCTGCAGCTAACGATTATTTTCAAAATCGATTAGTTAGCCGATTATTAAGTTCGATTAATCGGTTAAACAATAAAATAAAGTTTAAAAAATGGCTCCAGTGATAGGACTACTAGTTTGTATTGAGATTGTAGTCCATCACAGGAGCAAGCTTGGAGCGGTGGAAGTAAAAAAGAAAAAAAAAAATAGCGTGGTGTGCAATATAGTGAAATGGAAAGTGTAAAATTATACAGCAATGAATGCAGAATGGCACCGGCTATAGAGGACTACAAAACCCAGCAAAAGCACATTATACAGCGCAATGCAGAACACCGCCAGCTATAGAGGAATACAACAAATCCCAGCAATAGTACATTATAGCTGGCGGCATTCTGCATTGCGCTGTATAAGGTACTATTGCTGGGTTTTGTAGTCCTCTATAGCTGGTGGTATTTAGCATTGTACCACTTTATAATGTACTATTGCTGGGATTTGTTGTAGTCCTCTATAGCTGGTGGAATTCCGCATTGCGCTGTATAATGTATTATTGCTGGGACTTGTAGTCCTCTATACAGCGCAATGCAGAATATCACCAGCTATAGAGGAGTACAACAAATCCCAGCAATACATTATACATACAGTGTATAATGCATTGCTGGTATTTGTATTCCTATGTATAATGTACAGTACAATGTACCATCAGCTATAGAGAAATACAAATCCCAGCAATACATTATAGAGCACCATGTGTGGGAAAGTGCAGGCTTACCTGAGCAGTCTTCCAGCAACTTGCTTCTGAGATTGGACCTGTCTATCAGCGGCTGTCATCCCCCCACCCCTGCTCCTCCTTACTACATCTCCCCGCGTGCCTTGCCGATCGTGGATGGGCAGGAAATGTGAGGCGGGGAGGAGGTGCGGCGTGTGGAGCGTGGATGCGAGCGGGTCTGGCAGCGGCGAGCGTGAGGTGGGGAGGAGGTGCGGCGCGCAGCGTGTGGAGCTGTGAACAGGGCCAACTGATCGGAAGCCGATTAATCGATTATTGAAAAAGTTGACAACTTTTTCAATAATCGATTATGTCGATTAGTTGTTGCAGCCCTAGTATGGAGGAGTAAAATGAGCCATCTGTGTCTTTCAGGTGGAGTGCCCTCCAGTCATTGATTAGCTGTGCTTGATCTAAGTGTTTTTTAATTGTGCCAAGGTGCTTGTATGGGACAGCTGTGTGACTTGTATTAAATCCAGAAATGGGTTCCAGGACGATGTTGAAGCTCCAGCTAGAATGAGAATGCCTTACTTGAAGTTAATTTTGACAACAAACATGGAAAGGGCAAATGGAGTGGTTTGATTGGGGCAGTTAAGCAAGTGTACTTCTCCTTTTGATCTCTTATTGGTGGAGAAGCTGTAGAACAATTCAAGGTAGTGAGGAGACTTATGAATATCTTTGGTAATAAGTCAATGGATGCCATTGTCCCGAACAAAGATAGGAGAGGGGTGTAAAAAAAAAAAGTGTATCTATACATATGAGGAGTACAGAAGGGGTAGACATGAAAAGAGACGAGGGGCAACATACATTTTGTAACAAGATGGACTGTACAGTAGCATCAGAAAAGCAATGTGGCAAAGGAGCACCAACACAATGTGTGTGCAAGGAGCTACAGAGGGCCAACATGGCACAGAACCCAATTGTGGGGGTGCACTGTTGCCCACATTAGAAGGCAATGGGATAGTAAGCCCTAATGCATAAGAATGCTTAGAATGTAGCTTTGGTTGGAGTATACAATAGGATGCCAACATTCTGCGGTTATGGTTGTCATAGTTCGCTCCAAAATTTTGCAATATTTCGTAGTTGATCATGGCTATTATACAATAATAATATATACATAATGTTCAGTTGTCTACACTTTCAGGTTCCATAAGATCCAATGCTGTACACTGCCCTCTTTTCTGCTAATGTTAAGGGGTGCCAGATTCCTGATATACTGCACATAGACATCAGTAGGAAATATCACCTACCTTCCAGCACCCAAACAGAGTCAGTGCAGAGACTAGGACATGAATTGAGTGTTATGCAATAATATATTCATGTTTAGGTAAAACTCCAAATTCCTTGCAAACTGTTATATTAATTGCGTAGATCTTAAAGCCCCCCTCCTCCTGGCCAATCACAAAGCAAACGGCCCCAGGCTCCAAATTGTGATTGGCCAGGAGCAACACTGGAGCAGGCACATGTAAACAGGATGATTTGTGGGGAGAAGGTGGCAGTGCTGATTATGACAGGTAGATTTAGAGCAGAGGCACTGTTCAACCTACTGAACAGCGGTAAGATTATTGTTCCCGGAGCTGGGCTTTAATTATTATCCATGGCCACCACCTTATATTACAACAATGCTATTAAATGCATGCTTACCCTTGGCAATTCATCGTACCAACTGAAAACATCCACTCCAATGAGTGAAAAGATCCTGTTTAGTGGCGGTAAGATCTGTTTGGTGATGTAGTAGGTTGCATTCAATCTCAAATTGTGATCTTGCAGGACATCAATGGGTCGTCGTACAAGCTGGATAAGGGGTACACCAGGCGTTCCACACACTATTACATAGGGCACCCTTTCTCCAACACGTGGTTCAGAACGGCGGTCATATGCTACCATTTTTCTGATAAAAGAGGAGCAAAAGATGATCACAAAAATGTTTGGACAGATTTTTTGTGTCAGAGCTGATCTACTGGCCATGCACGCAAAACATGATTATGAGGTATACTATCTACATTGAATATGCAAAAGAAAGATGGGGACATGCAAGGTATTGTTGTTCAAAATATGTTTACTCCTAATAAAAGTTTTTGTATACACTATATATTTATTTTGCTACTGGCATGACATTTAGCTATCTCCAGATGAAAGGAGTTTTTAGGTCTGTCAATAATTATGTTGAGCGTTCTTATCTAGCAAAACAGACACCAAATTGCTTCTTTTTTTTCTCCTCACAATATATTTATTTGCTCAGAGAACCGCAACCAACTACAATTATCAGTGTTTACATTTTAATACTGACAGTACATAGGCAATTGTTACTGATTGCAGCCCAACAGCAGGTCTTCATGGCTAAAACAGATCCTCATCTGGCTCCTAGAAGTTCTAGGACTGAACCATTAGATCCCCATTGCTTTTGGAACAGACACACTGCCACAAAAATTCACCAGCATTCAGCAAACTATGAATACAAGGGAGCTGTATATGCCAATTTAAACGCTTACTACTGCCTAGGAGGGCCATACAAACTTTTTGGCCAGTAGAAACATGCAGGAGGCAGTTGGTGAGCTTGGCACTCCCTGACAAAATCTGCATGTTACAGTGCCCTGGATTCAGGGAAAACGGAACCCTGGAGAAAGCATCTAAAGATATATGCAGGTACCACTAAGTGCCACATTGTAGTGCTGCAGCCTGCTCTGCGCTATTAAAGTGTTGCTACACCCAAGAACAATGTCATATATTGTAGCTTACCAATCCTAAGATACGATGGCTAAACTAGTTTTCTTTTTTCAGCCAGTGGTCCTGCCATTAAACACACTTCCTGTCCTAAAGTAACACAACTCACTCACTGTACTGCATCTATGGAGGAGCAGCATTGTCACTCTAGAATAGAAAGTGTGCTAGGGATATTCTGTAGTCCACTAAGAGAGATGAAACCGATGCTAACAGCAGAAGCAGAGAGAAAATTATCAGCCTACAAGATTTCTGGCAGGATCAAGTTTAAAAAAAAAAAAAAAAACTTTTGCACTTTTCAGGCAGATATAACAAAAACACGTTCAATCGTACATATAACAGACTAAAAGGGAGCAAATACGAGGCGTTTTTATTCTACATATATAGTAACATACTGACCGGCCTACTTAAAGTACACCAGGCAGTTTCAACAGATCTTCTTAGAAGGCCTTGGCCTAAAGTGCCCAAACATGTTCAATGAATAGAGATGAGCAGCCCACAGATATAGGAGAACCATCAATTTGTCTGGAAAGCGACAGGTTTGTTTGACCTGCCAAGTCAATTTGCTCATCTCCGTGAATTACAAACTCAGTGTCTCTATACTTTGCTGCCTTTGGCTCATTGAATGTTTAAAGTGACATTAAACCCTCAGATTTTTTTACATAAACCAATACTGTAATGTGCGCCTTACTGTAATCTATGGTTGTTTCCCTTCTCTTTGCTGCTCTTCCTTTTAAAAAGATACACAGTGTCTGTGTGAAGGTTCACAACCTGAGCCAGCACTACAGGAAGAGGCACTCAGCTGCAAAGGGAAGTTCTCCCCCAGCATGAGAACAGATACAGATTTAAAAGGAAGAGCAGCAAAGAGAAGGGAAACAACCATAGATTACAGTAAGGCGCACATTACAGTATTGGTTTATGTAAAAAAATCTGAGGGTTTAATGTCACTTTAAATGTATTAGAATCAATAACTCATTGGTGGGAAATCCAATTTCCATTGTTGAAATTCTCAGACGTTTTGTCATAGCTTATGGCCATAGGTAGGGCACTGTTGTCTTTGTTGCGTGTCACAACCAAATGCTGTTCCAATATTGATGATCACTACAGTGGGGGGAATTTATCAAAGCAGTTGTGAGTGTTTGAACTTGCACGAGATAGATTTATGATGCAAGTGTAATGTTGTTGATAAATGAGGTTTAATAGACTCCAAGAAAGAAGACTTCTAACTTCAAGCTTAACTGTTGCATCTTGGAAGAAGTGGTCATGGGGACTTCTTAAGTTGCAATTGTTTTGTTAGGTGATGCTCCAGTTTCGGACAGCCCAGAACAAGTGCAGATGAAAACAGGTGCAAAAAACATGCAGTTGAAAAAGTCGTGCAAGCTCTGAAGAAAACAGGGGCACATGTTAAAAGACAGATTTGCACATAACAAAATGAACAAAGAGGCTAAAACTGTCGCAAGTGCTTTGATAAATTCCCCCCAGTGTGTATTACATGATTTAGCACCCAGTGACATACATAGTACGTCAGGCAGCCGGCCCATTTAAACAGACTCCCAGCGGACTCTGTTTACAATTGTAAAGCCAGCTGTCGGTTTTGCAATAGAAGCGGTTCTGGCGACTCAGCTGCCGTCTGATCGCTTCTACGGGATGCTAAAGTGCCCAACATTCCTGCCGTCTTTCCCGGGCTCTGTTGCCCCTCCTGTGTGCCTGGGATCAGCATCTCGGGTGCCGGCGGTAAGCTGGGGGGGGCAGGAGATCAGCGAATGTCGGTTCACCGATCTCCTCCCTGTTATATGGAAGCAGGAGCCACGAGGATTGCATCACTTTCGATCCCTGAACTGTCAGTGCTGGGCTCCTGTAAGTGCGATCTGCACTTCAATAGCTTATTTAAAGTGTAGTGTAAAGTGATACTAGTGGCCCCATTGTCACCTTAAAGAGGACTTCTCACCATCAATATGCCATCACATCACAAAGTGATGGCAATGAAAGTAAATAAAAAAAAAAGTTTTTAAAAAAATAATTAAAAAAATGGCCTGGACAGGAAGGGGGTGTAACACCCCCGTCTTCAAGTGGTTAAAGTAGAAGTCATTTTTTTGATGGATGAATACACCCTGTACCAGAAAATCATACAAACTACTGGCTGGAATGGAGTACAAAAGATACTGTACGCGATGCAGCTGGGTTTGAATCTTCCTGGTTGCTCCTGTTAACTACCTAAAGACCTTGCGAGTGCAAGATGAGCTCTTAAAAATCAAATCTAGATTCCCAAGGTACCTCCTAAGCCCAGCTCTTATTCCCCACCATGATGTGTTTCTCAGGAGCTGCTGCAGTAGCTTCTGTGCATATGATGCCCGAAAACACTATCTGCGACCGTCACTGATAAATATATTGTAGCATTATCATTGTTACAATGTATTTAGACTATGTGCAGTTTAAAGGAGAACTATGAGGTGAGTGGAAATCACTTATCCTCATAGTTCGAGCCGATGTGTGACAATGAAACTTTCACAGGTCGGCTCAATAGATCAGGGAGTGAACACATATCATCATTACGTCATTTTCAGGCCTAAAATGTGGAATATAACATGGGTGCAAAAATTGAAAAAAGGGCCTCAGTCATGAAGGGGTTAAAGAAGAGTTCTTTGAACTGCAGATAACCATCATTTACAGCACTCATTTTTTTTTCTATTACATTTTTCTTATTTAACCCCAAACATTGTGTTCACGTATTTGAACACTTCACACTTATGCAGTAAATGCAACTGTCACTCAGAAATCTCTGTCTGTGCCTCTGTGCTATCAGAAAGCAATGTGATGTCACTTCACTTCAAAAGTCTGAATACTGAAAAGAAGTCACCCGCACTCCAAAGTACAATGTGTAGAACGCCTTTAATGAAGATGCCAAACAATCATGGTGACGCAAGTGAAACACAAAGTTTCGGAACCATTAGTTGATGGGGGGATTCCTCTGTTGGTTTGTCTTTTAATCTGAAGTCTGCTGGACTTCATCTGGAGGTTTTAAGATCTGCACCTCTGAAAAAATGTGAGAACTCCCTCCTGTATCTCAATGGGTGACCTCTTCCCTATGCTAGAAAGTGTTAGGTATGTAATTCATGACCACACTGGTTTTTCATTCCTAAAGTCAAGGTTTTAGCTTCTGGATTCTGCATCTGACGTTGTCTAATTTAAAGAGTCTGCACATGAGTGTGTCTCCTTTCTTCCTTGCAAGAAAGTATCCATCACTAATAAGTCATGTACTTCTTTGGAGGGCTAGCAGCTAAGACACTTTGCTACCCTGATGGAGAATTGTTCCTAAGTGGGATAGTGCAAGTCCACAGACTTAGTGATAGAAATCCTAGTACTAACACTACTATCTACTCCACAGAAGATTCTGCCCTTACATGGCTAAGCCTAATAATCGCTAGAATCATGTATTCCATAATGTGCTAGGCAGGCTTGCAGTGTGGCAGTCATGGTCCTAATACACCTATGGGTTTGAGTTGGAAGGACTTATCCTTCTGCTCTCTGTGTTCTTATACTCCAGGTTGCATTACAGTATACCCTCACCCCTGCCTACCTGCTTATTATACAGGTAGTGTTCATTACCCCATCTTCTCCTTAAATAGATTCAGGGTTACTACTTTAATTTTTTTTCTAGCTTAAGGCTTTATTTTCCCTCTCTCCTTTGGATCCTTTGGATTATCTTTTTTTTCTGGACATACCTCATCTGTCCAAGTTTCCTTCCCAGAAGCCAAAGGTTAAATATGCTAAGCTAAAGCCTTTATGCTAGTAAACACTGTTTCTTGTTGACCACCTTACCTATTGGTCAAAATTTAGTTTTTTCTACTGTCCAGGTAGTTTGCTGTTCCACCTATTTTCTTAAAGTGGATGATTATGTTCCTCCACACTAGTATTTGAGACCCATCATAGCAGCGTGAATAGGGCACCTAGAAAAACAATTGTTTTCTAGGTGCCCTTGCAGTAACTGGTATTGATCTGATGCAAATATTACCAGTCACCGCACAAAGACTGTTCTGCTGTAGATTGCATAGAAGATTAAATACGTTTTGTATAACAGTATTGCTAAAAGAGCTTTGTTTGTCCATAAAAAAAAACCTATGTATTACTATGGTATCATTTGGTATCAAGGCCTATTCCAGAAATGTAAAAATGATCCATATTGGATTATACAGGTCAAATATTAAGTATGTTCTTATAGAACTGGATTGTTTCCGGAACTACTTCCAATCCCAGCCACTACAGGAGTCCATACACTAGTGAGAAGTAGTACAATCCTGCCATTACACACATCGTGTGAAAGACAGATTATTTTTTTTTTTTTAATGCTCCAAAACATCTTTATTGGGTAAACACAAAATACAACAAGACACAACCAGGACAGATTTTCACCTTGAAATCCAGTGGCCACATTTCTAGACCTACCTTGTTAGTTCCAGTGCTGGCACACAGGCACCAGGTCTGTAAGAAAAACTTCCTCTGTACTCCTTGGCAAAAATAAGGTCCTGCATGCTGGCTTTCCCTTCCAGAAGCTTCATGCACTGTCTCTGCACATACTGTTTGATCTGACTTATATCTCTTGTTTCGAAAAGCAGCTTAATTGAACGTTCAAGTATCTGAGAAAACAAAACAAAACAAAAAAAAAAACTTAGGCTGTTCATAGACAAGATAATGTTAGATCGCCCTCTCGGCTCAAATTTGAGCTTTGTAAGCCCATTCGGAACACCTCCATTTGACAAACAATGATTTTTCAATCAACTTTTGTCAAATAAGCCAGTCCGAAAATTCAGTAGGCACCTAGGTAGTCTTCTTAACTTTGTCACAGCCCAATCTCAGCCCACTCCAATAGGCAAAACTTTAGCAATTTCTAAATTGTGCTAAACTTACCTAACCCTTCCTACCTCCTGCGTGCACCCTTTCTACTTTCCTACACAGAGCAATTGATTGAGCAAGTCATAAGAAAGTCCATCTGACATACACTATATTGCCAAAAGTATTGGGACACCCCTCCAAATCATTGGATTCAGATGATCCAATCACCTCCATGGCCACAGGTGTATAAAAGCAAGCACCTAGGCATGCAGATGCTTCTACATACATTTGTAAAAGAATAGGTCACTCTCAGGAGCTCAGTGAATTCAAGCATGGTACCGTGATAGGTTGCCACCTGTACAATAAGTCCATTCGTGACATTTCCTTGCTAATAAATATTCAGCGGTCACCTGTTAGTGGTATTATAACAAAGTGGAAGCAACTGGGAACAACAGCAACTCAGCCACGAAGTGGTAGGCCACATAAAATGACAGAGTGGGGTTAGTGCATGCTGAAGCGCACAGTGCGCAGAAGTCGCCGACTGCAGTGTCAATAGCTACAGACCTCCAAACTTCGTGTGGCCTTCAGATTGGCACAACAACAATGCGTAGAGAGCTTCATGGGATGGGTTTCCAGGGCCGAGCAGCTGCATCCAAGCCTTATATCACCAAGTGCAATGCAAAGCGTCAGATGCAGTGGTTTAAAGCACGCGCCACTGGACTCTAGAGAAGTGGAGATGTGTTCTCTAGAGTCACATGAGTCATGTGAGAAGTGGAGATGTGACGAATCACTCTTCTCTGTCTGGCAATATGATGGCCGTGTCTGGGTTTGGCGGTTGCCAGGAGAACGATACTTGCCTGACTGCATTGTGCCAAGTGTAAAGTTTGGTGGAGGGGGATTATGGTGTGGGGTTGTTTTTCAGGGGTTGGGCTTGGCCCCTTAGATCCAGTGAAGGGAACCCTTATGGCATCAGCATACCAAGACATTTTGGACAATTTCATGCTCCCAACTTTGTGGGAACAGTTTGGAGATGGCCACTTCCTGTTCCAACATGACTGCGCACCACTGCACAAAGCAAGGTCTATACAAACATGGATGAGTGAGTTTGGGGTGGAGGAACTTGACTGGCCTGCACAGAGTCCTGACCTCAACCCGATAGAACACCTCTGGGATGAATTAGAGCGGAGACTGCAAGCCCGGCCTTCTCGTACAACATCAGTACCTGACCTCACGAATTCGCTTCTGGAAGAATGGTCAAACATTCCCATAGACACACTCCTAAACCTTGTGGACGCCTTCCCAGAAGAGTTGAATATTGAACCTTACGGACTAAGACTGGGATGCCGTTAACCTCCCTGGCTGTCTGATTATTTCCTTTTTTAATTTTTTTTCGTTTCTTTTTTTTAAATTCCCGCTGGTTCCGCCCCCTTACGACGTGGACGCTCGCAAGGGACAGAACCCGGAAGACAGATGCTGGCATCGGCCGGAGGACACAGTGTGGCTCGAGGGGCAAGGTAAGTAACGCTAAACTGTAATCCAGAGTGTGGCTCGGGGTTACCGCTTATGGTGCTAAAAATTCCCCACTCGGGAATACCGCCAAGGACGTTAAAGTTCATGTGTGTGTAAAGGCAGGTGTCCCAATACTTTTGACAATAAGGTGTATGTGGATGAGGTGAAATCACTCACCTCATAGTTCTCCTTTAAGCATAAGGCAGCAGGTGTCAGAACCTAACAACAACTGGAATACAATTTAAATAGTACAGTTATGAAAAATGGTATTCATTCTCTTACTTACCTTACCAACAGCAGGGCAAGCATCTCTTCGCACAGTTTCTATGCCTTTTGCATCAAAGACGGGATCCTTCTGATCAAGAGTTTCATACATGTAACCCACATACCTTTTCTTGGTTTGTAAAACACAGGGGAGATAAACCTGCAAAATACAGTTATCATGTTTTCATTAATTTATCTAAATACAAGAATATGTCCTTTGCAGGGTCCTTCACTGACTCTAGCCCTCCTATTGGTAATACTGACACAGAGGAGCCTAGAGCCCCTTCAGGAGACCCCTCTGGGCAGCTGCTGACAAGTTGAGCAATTTTCAGTAAGTCAGGACTGTACTATAACACTTCAGGTTTGCATAACATCTTAAGCGCAACCAAAATGAGCAGTTAACCCTTGCAACAAGGGTTAACTGCTCGTTTTGGTCTAGGGTCCAAAATAAAAAAATATATATACTAACCCGATCCTCGTGCACCCACCTGGTTGCTAGGCTGCTCCCCGCAGCCTCTTCTCCCCTCGGGCTACAGTGGTCTAAGGTCGACGCAACGTCATTACTTCCGTTGAACTGGACAAGAGGACACTCGGGGACATCCAACAGCCAGAGCACAGGAGAACCGAGGTGAGCAGTCACTGACCTGCAGCAAACACCATTATTCCTCCCACTGGTAACCCAGCACTGCATCTGCTCAGCCAACCCCTTTCTTCGGAAACACAGCTTGTAATCTTGGGCTAACTTAGCAAGAGTACTCTGTAGGACTCCAATGGCTTGCCCTGCTTTAGGCTACCCATATACATAAGACAGTGCTCGCCAGACTTGAAAACAATCTGTCACATGAAATAAATTGCTCATGCACCAGTGCCTCATATGTTAGGCTTATACTTCCAGGTACAGGAAACACACATTAGCTCAATTTTCTCAAAATGGATAAATAGTTTATGAACAATATCAGTTGGCCAGCAGAAAAAAGCTGACAAATTATAGCTCTATAGATCAGTATATCTAGTGACAATCTATGATAATTCTTTCATACAAATGATGTTACATCAGATTGTTTGGCTTTTCTAATTTTTCTTTAGAGTGCCATCTTATGTCATTAGGTAGCTTTAGCCACTGATGAATTTGATGAATTATTGCTGCAATTATTTCATGCTCTTTGATGGTCCATTTTGCCCACCTGGAGTGTTGTAGTCTCATGGGACTTCCCATTTGTTGTACATGCTTATGCAAGCCTAAAGAAAATGTTGTACCTCTTGTCTCTTTTGTATTCTTGTTTATATTTTATGCTTGCCTATCGAAACTTTAAAAAGAAAAAAGATACAAAAAAAGATAAGCTATGTATGGCTGCATTCATGCGAGGACGATGCAGTACCCCATGCCTGTTAACTTGGATGCATGTTTTTACTATGTTTGTAAGGAAGCACCAACATTTGTTAGACACCGCCAGATGACATTATTGAAAAAGAAATGACTGAAAATCCAAATCGATCAGCAATGATATGGTTAGATGACAGAAATTGTTTGGTTATATATATATATATATTATGCCCAATGTTGTTGGTTGCTTTGTGGATTGTCTAAGTAGTTATAAATCCCATATAGGAAGAGTTTTAGATAAAAAAAAACTTCTATTTGATGGATTGTTTATAGTTAAAGCTCCAGTAGGTTTTTGTTGTACATGTACTTGTGTACTGCTCGTGTGTTTCATCAATAAAATCTTCTTCTACCCAATTAACTGTTTAAAATGACTCATCATACACAAGCTTGTATCCAATAACCTGCATGTGTATGTAAAAGGTTTCTTCCCTGACCTGTTGCTTTCTCATCTATCTGCTGCACTACATGCACTCAGTCCAGTTGGATGACTGCAAAGACAGGACAACAAAGGTTTACCAAGGGCACATGCTGATCCAGCATTACTTTACCTTCATGCCCACAACTCAATGAAGTAGTTCCCTCATTTTCAAGTAAAATCAAATACATCTGCTTAACATACTTTTAGAGGCATGCCTTTACTCTTCAGGGGCTGTGGGAAACGGTTAATGTTTACATATCTATTTCCACAGGTTCACAAAACACACTATTACTGTATATATTTAATACCACGTTATTCTATTCATTAAAATCAATGATCGAAATGTGCCTGCACCAACAAAGAAAAAACAACAGTAGTGCTTTTCAGTTACCTTCTCAAACTTCAGCTTGACTGGTTTTGGATTTGTAGCAGTGACAGCGTCAGCAATTTCTTGACCAATTTTGAAGGACTGTTCCTTGGTAGCCCCTTTCAGCAGCACAAACATGCTGGAAATACAGATGTACATATAAAAACATACTGCAGAACAAAATTGGTTCCACTTAAAGGTAACTCTACAGTATAATGTAACATAAAAACCTGACAGCAGTTCTAACCCTTTCCCATACTACCCAAGGCAAAACAGCTGCAACCCCAATTTTTGTTATCTTTAATGGCATCATATTTGTAGTTCTGCACATGATTTGGCATCCATTTAAGGAACAACAGAATAAAATTACCCACTCATGAGGTTGCACTCACAGTCATCTGCCTTTCTAACACCTGGATAACTCAAAAGTAAGATGTACAAACATCTATTTTTTTAATCTTCGAAAAAGATCCTAAGCCAAGGCTGCCACACCTTCAAATTGAGCTGAGAATGGCACAAATGTATACAATCTGTTTATAATTAGGAAGTTAAAGCTTTGAATAATCTTTTTCTTCAACAGAGTTCTTTAAGATTTTTATAGGGAAACACGATGAAGGATTGATTTTTCTAATGAAGACCCGAGTCCCCACTGTGCAGTCTTTACCTGTTCCTCACTCAGCAGATCATAGAAATAATATTGTGAAAACTTGAACAGGGTGTTATTGCCAGCTTTCACTAGAACTCATTCCACAGTTGATGCTTTGCCTCAACATCTAATTTAGACAAGGCAGCAAATGAAGCTGTACAGCAAGCACCAAAAAACTGCCTGTGCATGATCTTATCTTTGGAAATCAATGAAAATAATCTAGCTGCTCTTTGGTGCAAAACCGAGACCTGACTTCAATGGCCTCACCGCTTGGGTATTAATAGTCCACAAAAGCCTTTTCCTATTCACAGACACCTGTGCTCATCAGATTAACAATTTTAACTCCTTCATGACCAAGCTTTTTTTTTTAGCTTCTGTTTGTTAATGACTGAAGCACTTTTTACATTTTTCTGTGCGATTCCTCCACGTCGGTAATATACTTTCTTTTTAAGTGCACCCACAAATATCATATATCGGTTTTTAGAGGACAGATAGGGCTATGTATTTATATCACATATGTGTACCTAACACCTCACTTAGTACGGATAAAATACACACACACACATACAGGTTAAACTCGAATAATTAGAATATCATGCAAAGTTCATTTATTTATTATTTGTTAGAAAAATAGCACAGCTAAAAAAAATGCATTAAAATAAATTAATTTGTCCTTTATTTGGAAACACTTCACATCCCTAGGATTTCAGACATTTTTTTTTCTGTACTTTTCAGCCTGAGGGCCTGTTCACACGACGTCCGTTTTGTGTGCTGACCGGCTCCGTACGCTGCTGCACTCAAAATGCATCCCAATGTATCCCTATGTGTTTTATGGGCTACAGTTCTCACGTGCGCAGTCCGTTCAGGTTACGACAGAAAAAATACTGCATGTCACATTTTGTCAGGTCCGGAAACGCAAACGCATCAAAAACGCACTGCGCTGCAGCTAACATACTAACGGTCAGGAAACGCAAACGCGTCCAAAACGCGTCAAAACGCACTGCACTGCAGCTAACATACTAACAGCCCCACACCAGCAAAAAAAAATGTTTTTTGTTACTTGAACACATCAAAAACATGTGAACAGGCCCTTAGTTTTTAGAGAAAAAAATTATAAAATGTTAGCTTTTACTGTTTAGGGCCTGTTCACATGATATCAGGTCCTGATCAGGTGCGGATCTGCAGACTGATGCAGTGCGTTTTTGCCACGTTCAAGTAAAAAAAAAATATATATATTTTTTTTTGCTGGAGTGGGGCTGTTAGTATGTTAGCTGCAGTGCAGTGCGTTTTTGATGCATTTTTGATGCGTTTTCTGACCGTTTCCAGACCCGACAAAATGTGACATGCAGTATTTTTTCTGTCGTAAGTGAGAACTGGAGCCCATAAAACACATAGGGATACATTGGGATGCATTTTGAGTGCAGCAGCGTACGGAGCCGGTCAGCACACAAAACGGACGTCATACTAACAGCCCCACTCCAGCAAAAAAAAAAAAAAAAATTTTTTTTTAAACTTGAACGCATCAAAAACGCGGCCAAAAACGCACTACAGTCTGCAGATCCGCACCCGATCAGGACCTGATATCATGTGAACAGGCCCTAAACAGTAAAAGCTAACATTTTATTATTATTTTTTCTCTAAAAACTAAGGGCCTGTTCACATGATATCAGGTCCTGATCAGGTGCGGATCTGCAGACTGATGCAGTGCGTTTTTGCCACGTTTTGGATGCGTTCAAGTAAGAAAAAAATATATTTTTTTTTGCTGGAGTGGGGCTGTTAGTATGTTAGCTGCAGTGCAGTGCGTTTTTGATGCGTTTGACGTTTTCGGACCTGTAGCCCATAAAACGGACGGCGCACGTGAGAACTGGAGCCCATAAAACACATAGGGATACATTGGGATGCATTTTGAGTGCAGCAGCGTACGGATCCGGATTGCTGAAGTGGGGCTGTTAGTATGTTAGCTGCAGTGCAGTGCGTTTTTGATGCGTTTGCGTATCCTGACCGTTTCCGGACCTGACAAAATGTGACATGCAGTATTTTTTCTGTCGTAAGCTGAACGGACTGCGCACGTGAGAACTGTAGCCCATAAAACGCATAGGGATATGTTGGGATGCATTTTGAGTGCAGCAGCGTACGGAGCCGGTCAGCACACAAAACAGACGTCATGTGAACAGGCCCTCAGGGTCAACTGTCACAGTTATGACTGCTTGATAATTTAATACATTTTTGGTTATTATTAGGCTGCTCCGAACTTAGGAACAGCCAATAATAACCTTAGTGACCTGACAGCATGACAGGATTAGATCTCACTAAAGGATTCTGATTGTTCCCAGACAATCAGAAACCTTGAAACATTTCAGCAAAGAAACACATTTTTACACATTTCTGTGCTGAAGAATGTAACAAACAGCCTGTAAACATCAGGAAATTCCATTCTCTACAGAGCTGTGAAAACTGAAATAGCGGAGTGGTGTGCAGACCATTCTGCTATTTCAGCTGTCAAATACCAGATCCATGATAGCGATCTGATATTTGTAGCAGCTTAACCCATTCATTAATGAAATAAGCTTTTACAAAAGCTTAACTCTTTCATTAATGGATGCCTCAATACTGAGGCATCCATGAATGAACGGTAACCGCTGATTCTCAGCGGTTTTCGGCATTTCAAAGCCCTGAATAGCTGCTCATGTACAGTGTACGTGAGCAGTCATTTGGGCACTTCACGATGGAGACATACAGTGTAAATCTAGTCATAAAGGGATTAAACAAAGAATACATTTTCATTTTGACAGATTGCCAGCAGCACACCAGACTTTCATGTGGTTCAAGACCTCAATAAAATTCACTACCTGGGCATAACCTTAAAACTGCTGCATATTTCTATAAAGATTGTCCGGATGGCTGGAGTGGCAGCTGCAAAATATGACTTATTTGTATAGAGAACGGTTTGGTCATAGAACTGGCCTTGTACTATTGATCAAGAAATTAACTGATACCTGTCAGTGTCACCATACACCACTCTGGCTCCCCATTTCTTCGTGCCATTGACAAGCTTTATAGCACGTTCCAAGGTCTCCCGAGCTTTGTGGACAATACTGTCTCCAACCTGTGAAACCAAAAGTATTACAAAGCGCAAACACAGAGGATTGCCCAGTTTTACAATTTACTGCAAGTTGTACACGGAAATATCTAAAAAACAAAACAACTTCACACACATATGAAAAGCGCACTGTCTCCAACCTATCAACAAATATGGCATAGGTCAGCTTTTCATAATGATTCAAATCTATGTGCCTCATAAGACAAAAACTAAACCAGGTAATCAAATCTATTCATAACGTTTGCTACAATCACCCACACAGCCATTTGTTTACATTCCGGCAAGTAGCTGTGGCACCTGGGGAAGCGGAGTTTGTGTAGTGAATGGATGTGATCAGTTAGCATGCCACCGATCACATGCACTTCTAACTGCCACAGGTCCTGGGAATCATATGGCATGTACGTTTTTGGCTGCTGAAGCAACCATGAATTTAAAACCTCTCAAACTGCCGATGTAAGACTTTAAAGAGCTGGCCAGCTGGAAGCAGTTCCGGTGTACGCCTAAGGCCTCATTCAGATGGGGCACACACATCATGCGGCGTGCACACGCGTAGACGTGCCGATCCCGTGAGGGACAGGTGCTGCATGTAATTGCACGCAGCAGCCTGTTCTTTCCCTTTGGGAGGACGTGGTTGTACGCTGTCATCCACACACCCGAACTTGCACATCGGTGCAGATACGGGTGTCTGCACGTGGACGCACACTGTCTGCGTCTAAGTGCGGACACCCAGACCCGCACCGATGTGCAAGTTCAGGTGTATGAATGACGGCATACAGCCACCTCCTCCAATAGACAAGAACAGGCTGCTGCATGCAATTATACTCAGCAGCTGTCCCTCCCGGGATAGGCCCGTCTGTGACACGCCGCACGCACGTGTACCCCCCCGTCTGAATGAGGTCTAAGGCTTACATCGGAACAGAACTGCTTCTAGCTGGCCAGCTCATTGAAAATCTTATGTCGTTGGCATTTTCAGAGCTTTTACATTCATGGTTGCTTCAGCAGCCAAAAACTTACAGCCATATGATTCCCAGGACCTGTGGGCAGTGCATTAAAGGGCAGTAAAGGGGTTAAAGGGACAATTTATACCTATGTGCGCACGCAGATGTAAATGGGCCTTTATACTTTCCTTTAAAAACACAATTAACTGCAGTGCATAGATGTGAATCAGCTACAAAGTAGAGAATGGGATTTGCACTTAAAATGCTTTTTATTGCAGCAGAATCCATATTTTACCTCAGGAAAACAGAGAAGTATGAAAGAGTACTTCGAGACTTTCACACATTGTCGCCAAAATTAAATGTGATCAAGAACTGGTAGAAACTGTAACAAAGAAGCTCAAAGAACATATTCTAAAACATAAAATATACATAAGCGACCATTATTAATCTGCACTAATTTACCTCCACGCAAGGCATTCTCCCAGAGAAGTGAGCAGCAGTGTAGCCAAATGTTACATTGGCTATTAATTTCAGACCAAGTTGACGGGCATCGAGCAGTCGTGTAAGGCTCTTGTCATGTTTGTATTCTTTCATGGACTGCTTTACCATTATTCTTGTGTTCAGAATCTCCTCAAGCATTCGTGGCAGCACCCCCTTTCTGACAGAGGGCTAAAAAAAAAGGAGAAAAAAAAAATTGGGAATTAATATACTAATAGAGATAATTCATTTCAGTTAAAAGTGGATGTATATCAAGCTAATATAGCTTTACACAGATGAAAGTGGAGGAGGCCTGGTCATATCAATATCCTACGATAGGCCTAGGCAACTTATAACCAAACCCAATAGGGATCAAATTATTTTGCCCAAATTTAACAGTATTTGTGGTATAGCTTTTTCAATATGGTAGTTTTTAACCCTAAATTTGCTGTACCATACCTAAAGTATTGACAATTTAAAAAAAAGAAATCTGCATCAAATAATGGTGCCAGATGTTCTTACCTTTACAAAAGCAACCCCATTAGGAGATATTGTAATATCATGTCGAAGCTGATGCAACAGGTCTGGAGGAACACGCAATGATGTGCATCCAAATTTGAACTCTTCACACCTAGAAAAACACATTATATCAGAATTGTGTCAGAAGGATAGGAAACTGTACTACACAAACTTGACAATGTAAAACTTATGTGCAACATAGTGCAGTCAGTTGAACTGTGAATATACATACAGTGTGAGTGTGGCAAGGAACTTGTCAGATCTCCATCAGTCTTAATGATTCCTGGCACAACACAAACATAGACAGAAGCAAACAAGCACAATACTTACTTCCCCATGTTCTCCATGTGCCCCAGGCAGGTGGAGTAGCAGTAGTTGTATGCAATCACTATGGAGGGGTATAAGGACTGGAAATCGAGAACCAAAATAGAGTTGCTGTAGAATTTGGACTCTGGCTCCATCACAAGTGGGATACACTGAGGGGCTCTCATCTGAGCGCGCTGTTGGATGCTGGGTGTTAGAGGGATGTAATTCATTGGCTTAGCAATACGCAGCATCACTGACTCAACCCGGTACTAGGAAAATAAAAAAAATATTTTCACACATATAGCTTTTCAGATTAATAGGGAAATACATAAATATGTCTAAACTGATGGTACTATCAAACAGCGAGACAGACGCACAAAGCGGCCATGAATTCTGTACACATCCTGGAGTGGAGATTAGACGCAGATCTCTACAATACAGTGCTTGGTGCCTAAATGACCTATCAACTGGTGTGTACATTGTCCCCCATTGGTGGAGGGGATGTCCCTTTGCAAAGATAGGTGAGCAGAGCTGGAACACCGATTCCGGCCCGGAACGCACTGCCCACATTGCGACCGGCTCCCTTTTTTGCTTGGCAGGAGGGGGCGTGGCGGGCCATTGTAGTGAATGGCACCGTAGCCACGCCCTGCGGCCGCAATGCGATAGCCCGCACGACAACCGCAAGGCACATTGTGCCTTCAGTGCGTTCTGTGCGGTGCATTCAAAATGCTGCAAGCACTATTTTGAATGCACTGCAGGCGCAATGTGCCTTGCGGTTGCCGTGCGGGCGATCGCATTGCAGCCGCAGGGCGTGGCTACGGTGCCATTCACTTCAACGCCACGCCCGCTCCTGCCCAGCAAAAAAGGGAGCCTGTCGCACGCACTGCTGATGGTGTGAACTAACCCTTAAAGTAGAACTCTGGGCACACTCGTAATTGAGACATAAAACAAAAACGTCAAAAGAAAAAGAATCCTAAATAGCTTTTTTAGTTATTTAGAAGGACCTTATCTTGGCTGCTTTCTAATTTGAGTGATGCTGAAGACAGCCGACATCTGTAATGCTGGAACACCAGCAGAAAGAGGGAATTGCCCGTGTTTTTTTTTTTTTTAAATATACAGGACAGGAATTTTGTGATACTTTTATATTTTATAGTTTGGGGTTTTATTTAGTTAATAAGGATGGAGACTATGGTATAAAGGTACTGTAGCCATAAGATTGGATTTCCCCTGCCTGAGGCTTCATTTTATTTTGCTGGATCAAAAGGGTGCCATCTTTGCAAATGTTGTCTAAGAATGCACCAAATAGGTGCTTACCATTGAAGGGCATACACAGTAAGCATTTTTTGCACTGATTTTACATGGACCATAGAAAGTGTCACAGCACCTAAACTTCCAGCATCAACTTCTAAGGGCTGTAGCAGGAGACATTAACACGTCAGGCTCCAAAAGAGGAACAAGCCCCCAAAACCTATCACAACTGTGGTCTGTCAAGCAAACACAGCAACAAAGTACTGGAGAATACCAATGCAGGACCCAATGGAACAAATCACATTTCAAACAGTCTTAGCCCCTCCACTGGGCATACTCCCTAAGGAGAATTCAGAGACCGGATTCCACCAGCAGGTGTACCAAGGCCCTGAACCTGTAAAGTGCTCTGCAGCTAACTAGCACAGTACACCAGTTGCATGAAGAGTGTCCAAAAGTCACGTTACAGGCCAGCTCCACATCTTTATCATAGCAGGGTCCTGGTACATCATCCAAGGCTATGCAGAGTACCAGCCAACATGGGAAAACTACGTAAATTAGTTCTCTTGGCTCTGCAGTAAGCAAAAAAGCTTAACTGAAGAAAAAGTTCTTGATGAAAAATGTCAAGTGAAAACAGTTTGCACATTTCAAGGAGAGAAGACATTCATTCTCCTAGGGCACTAGCAAAAAAATTGAAGCATGATGGGAGTTGAAGGGCTTATACAGGCTGAACAGATTTTTTTTTGTTTTCAGTGTTCAATACAACAGCATAACCCAGTTGTCAATATTACTCTGACCCCTACGTCCCTTAACCACTTGAAGTCCGCGGTGTTAAACCCCCTTCCCATCCAGGCCATTTTTCAGTGTTCAGCGCTGCGGTACTTTGACTGACATTTATTCCGTCATGCAACGCTGTACTGAAATTAATTTTATACCATTTTTTACAGACAGATAGAGCTTTCTTTTGGTGGTATTTAATCACCACTGGGGTTTTTATTTTTTACTATATTGAGGAAAAACTGCCGAAAATTAAAAAAAACTAAACTTTCCCCTATATTAAATTATAATACATTTATTATTACCCAATTTTTTGGTAAAATATAAAAGGCGGGGTCACATCGGGTAAAAAGGACACAAAACATGTCAAGCCTTAAAATTGCACACGTGCGAAACCTCAAAAAAACTACGATACCCAAAACTGGTCATAGGCAACACTTTAAAAGCTTTTACCGCTCATCAGTTTAGTTTTATCAGTGATTGATGGCCCTAAAATTATTGCTCTCACTCCACCGCTCGCGGCGATATGTAACGTGTGTAGCGCAATTGTCATTTTCGCACACTGACGCATCGAACACGTATTTACGTTTATATTTGCGTAAACGTCGGCGTGGGGGACTTAAGCATTTTGTTGATTTTTTATATCAGTTTAGTTTTATCAGTGATTGATGGCCCTAAAATTATTGCTCTCACTCCACCGCTCGCGGCGATATGTAACGTGTGTAGCGCAATTGTCATTTTCGCACACTGACGCATCGAACACGTATTTACGTTTATATGTGCGTAAACGTGGGCGTGGGGGACTTAAGCATTTTGTTGATTTTTTTAAACTTTTTTTATTAAACTTTTTTACACTTATTGTTATTGCTATCACATAGGGAAATAACAATCCCTCTAAACAATGGCAAAGGCACACTGACAGGTCCTCTTTATGGAGACATTAGGGGTATCTAAGACCCCTGTCACCTTGAGACCCCAAAAGAAGCTGATGAAGCAGAGATGGGAGCAAAATACAACCGATCAGTGGCTATATAGCCGCTGATCAGTTGTATGTCAAACAGCCTGTAACGGCTGTAAAGAACAGGCGGGTTTTTTCTGCCCTAGGGGGCGCGCGCGAGCAGAAAAAAATGCCGTCTAATTACAGCAACCTGGCCATGGGAGTCTGCCGTCCGTCTGTTTTTTTGCAACGGGCGGACGGCAAGTGGTTAATGAACATGTTTGGCATTTGCCCTATTTTATTTCATACAATGTAAAAAAGCTACATTTTTCACTTCTCTAAAATGTATTTAACTTATAATTTCCAGTAACAATGCACATTTTATCACGTGATAACCGCTTTATGTAAAACCTCCTAATATTAACAACTGACTATGTGGACCTGCTCTTTTCATTTAAAAAATGTGCTATACCTGATATAGTAGCAGCATTATCTGTGTGTTTTTATCAAGCACCTTTGCAGCAGGGAAACCCAATGCCTTACACAGAAACCTCCTCTTATAAACTTAGCACTCTGACCTGTAAATGTACTGATGCTTTTTCACTGAGCATGAGCAAGTTTTCCTTAACATTTCCTCATCTTTTTTGGGGGGCAAAAAAATCCTTTAGAAGATATATTTGTATTTCAAGATAAATAAATAAATAATGCTCATATTACTTTACCTGTGATCCTCTGGTTAAAACATGTAGAAACTGAATGCCAAAAACTCTTGCCAATTCACTGGTTCTTCCGATTAAGTCCAAATGTTCTAATAACTGGAGGGTCCCATGCACCCTGCTCATATAATGCTCTGTCATCCGCCACCTATACACACACACGTAAAGATTGCAAAAAAATATATACATAAGGAATATAAAAAAGTTACAAAAGACTGATCTATGTACCATCTCTGTACACCTTAGTTTGTCAAAACAATCATTTTAAAGAAAATGTCTGTAGTCAAACTTAATACAAGGCACATATGTAATCACAATCCCTAAATATTTTGAACTAAAGGCATTCATGTTTGTCACAGCAACATCTACATTATTAAAGTGCTTGTTTTGCTTTATTTGTACTGTTTCGGAACAAAATATACAAACTTATAAATTTTAGAAAACAAAATTGAAAAGTGGGTTATCAGTTTTATGCTTACAAACATTACCTGTAAATCTGTAAAAAAAACTCAGTCAAGGCAACTGGACTTGCCGTCTTTTGTTTGAAGACGTTTCACTGGTCATCCAACCAGCTTTTTAAATTCAGAATGACTTGTACAAAAAATTCGCTGGGAATGAATATGGTGAATGTCAGTCCAATCCACATAATCTGTTAGTCACAACCATGTGTTGATTGCATTCGCATAATTGGAGTCTAGGAGGTGTTATTAATATTGTATGTCGGTGAAACAAAACAGCAGTTACACCAGCGTATGCCAAAGCATAGACGAGCCAAACCCTCTGTTCAGGATTCAGCAGTATACCTACATCTAATGGAAAAAGGTCACTCCTTTGAAGACAGGTGTGAAGGAGACCATTTATGTAAAAATGGAGAAGCCAAGCTTGAATAGAGGTGGGGGGGGGGTTAGACATCTATTGTCTGCCACATACAATGCTGTTTTAACACCACTCTCTGGGCAAGTTAATAACACCTAGCTCCACTTATGGAAATGCAATCAACACCTGGTTGTGACTAACCTATTATGTGGATTGGAGCAACATTCACCATGATTATTCCTAGATAATTTTTTGTACAAGTCATTCTGAATTGAGAAAGCTGGTCCAGTTGCCTTGACTTATTTTTTACAGATATACCATGGCCTGGATGAATGAAAACCTTCACAGACATTACCTGTAAACATCTGATTTATGATCAAACCAATCTGATAATGTTCGAAGGGTAAAGAGGGGGAACCTTTGGTGAAGGACATGGAAGGCCACATTTTCAAAAGTGTAATTAGTCAGAGACACCTGAGGGAAAAAAAATAAAAAAAATAAGTTTTATTAAAAACAAAACAAAAAAAAAGCAGAATAGAGCAAAAAAGGTAAAGTATATTAGCAATAATATGAGTTATAAATAAGCAAAGTAAGATTTCAGTATTTTCTAGGATAGGATAATAGACATATAGGAAGACATGTCTCCTACAGCTCACCACTAAAGAGGTTACAGGACCTACCGGTAGTAATACAAAAGGGATACTTGCTTGCTTCCTACATTATACTGACTACTTCTAATTAAATAGGGCACAAGCACTGTCATTGTTCTAATTTCCGATACATCTATCCACATATAATGGTCTCCATAAAACCCTGCCCTATTACATCAATGAAAAACACTACAGACACAAATATAAGAATTTTCATAAATAACTGAAAGAATGCAGGACACCTATTCCTTTATTGTGGGTAAACACATGTTATCTAAACATGCTGTTTGTTTCAACATTAAACTTATGAAGTGTAAATTGTATGCACAATCTGATGGGGCAACACAAAACCTGAAAAGACACAGCAAGTGTAGGTAACATGATATTACTTTATTATTAGGGGTTTGTTTAAAAAAAAAAAAAAAAGTGTTACTAAAATGTTCCACAATTATTCCTTTTTGGCAGTTTGACCCTGTGACATGCAACAGCATTCACCTTTCATGCAGACACCGTCAACATTCAACCCATTTATAATAGGATAACTGTGCACCTGACAAATCTAACAGCTGTCGAATATCAAAAATACCGTCAAACAGCTTTTGAGTACGAAAACAAATTTATTTTTACACAATTGTAAATTGTGTAAATCCATTTACTTCTCTATGCACCATTGAGAAGCGAGTGCGAAAAAAAGCTGTGCTCCTTTTCTGGAGAAAAAAAGTTTTAGACATCTCTGGAACCTGGAAGGTAACAATATAGTATTTACAATGTGCTTGTGTGTTTATTGAATCTCATAGCCACACTCACTGTAAATGGAACCCCTAGTTCACCAGGAAGAGGGCATGCAAGTGGCACATAAGCTCCCTTTCTATCAACACCTTTCCTGAGCACCAGGAATACCAAAAAGGCTCATCAGTACCATCACCTGAGCTCTGTGTGGGGGATCTTCTTAAAGCACTGCATGCTCACTGCCCATTTGTTATAGATCTACAACCCGCATGTCTGGCGTGCCAATCTGCTTAGGAGCAGGCCAGACACTATGCTATTTTTTTAGCAGATTTTTTTTTTCTTGGAAATGTTTTTTAAACCTGTGCTAAAAACACATGTTCAACACTCTCTATTAGACATTTATTGCATTTTTAGTTGAACGCTTCATCAACTCAAGCAGGCAAATTTACAAACAGACTGAGGGATTGTCAGGTGAATGTGCAGGGATTGTTGCAAATAGGGTTATTGTTACAGTAGAGACATGGTCCAACTTGCTGCAATAGGGTAAAATATTACTTCCTGATCCCCTAAGGCAAATCAATACTGCTGGATCAAAAATCTATGGTGTTACTTCTTATAAATAGTAATAGCCATATATATTTTGTGCATTTAGAAACATATCCAACCTTTGTTGGAAAACAATGAGTTGGCTAGACCTTGGAATCTTGAAATGTAAAGAAGCCTTTCAGTATGTGGAGATTAAACCTCTTTTCTCTAAGGTGAAAAGAGTGCGCTCTTGTCATTTACAACGACCTTAAAATGAGCAAATGTTATGGTAATATTTCCCTCCATGTCTCTGATAAGCTCCTCCACCCCTCTTATTACTTTAGTTGCCCTTCTCTGCACTCTTTTGTTCTGCAACATGTTGTTTTGTGAATTGGTTCCCCCAAAGTGAACTGCATATTCAAGAAGATGTTTTACTATAATGCCTAGTACAGGGGCATGTTGCTGAATGTCCGGTAATTTAATTTTTTTTGCTATACAAACGTCCATTAATTTTACTATGGTAAATGTTCCCCTAATATCAGACCATGGTGAATTACCCATCACATGTTTAATAAACAGACCCATTAGTGAATTCAGAAACAGTTTAAAAAAAAGTACCTCTGTTTTCATCATCCTCCAAACATTCAATACAATCCGGCCAACTACATTGATCTCACTCATTGTGTCTGCACCATACTCATCCTTGTCTGCAGTAAACCGGTTCTCATTTTTGTCCTCTACAAAAAGAAAAAAGAAAAAGTTAAATTAGAACAAGCATTGAAAGAGAACATGGGAGCCTTAGTGAACACTGAAAGAACGATGTGGAGTTTGAGAAGTGGATTTTTTTTTCCCCGTTAGTGTGCGGACATACCAGGTATCCTGGACATTTGCTGGCAAAGGTTCACATTAAGGGCTGAGGCCCTCTGCAGGAGATAACCCCAGGAGTGCATTTGAACTTCATATCCTAGAAGGATATCAGGATCATACCTGGGGGAGAAAAAAAAAAAACATGACACCAGAAAAAAAAATTATATATTGTATATTAACATACAGTATACAGATACATGCATCAGACAATCCAAAACTAATGTCCCAGTCATAAAAGAACAATGAAAGGACTCAACCAATTTCAAATCAGACTAAACATCCAGTACCAGGATCTCTTCAGTAAAGATGTGTACTATGCCACAGTCACTGCCTTCAGCATTATCGGTAATGTAAAATAAGAGTTTTGCCTTACCTGTAAAATATGTTTCTTGGAGTTCATCGCAGGACACCGGGAGCAAATTCTTAAACCAGTGTGTTGGGCAGCTATCCTCAGGTGATTGGACACTGGCAAATCAACTAAAGCTTGTGTCCTATCCCAGGATATTGAGTGTTGATGCAGCAGAAGGCTTGTGCAGTAGTGTGGCAGTGAAGTTCTCTGGGAAAACTGGAGAGTGTAGAACAGAGCACGTGGCTGGCTAAAAGCATGTGTCAGAATGTCAATATGGAGGGCACATGCACAGAACAGTACCTGGTGAGGAGCTGCCGAGGCACTGTCCCTGGCCCCTAGGTCACAAGTTTAGCCTAATGGTGTCAATGTCAATTCCTTAAGGCTGTACATTGTCTTAAATTGCAACTCTTGAATACTGCCTAGGCACGTGGGGGACTGCAAATTGCCTGAGGAGGCTTTTGGTCCTACCATGGATGCAGCAGTGGCAGAGAAGACATGCCATCCCATCTTTGGGTCTTTAGGGTCAGGGCTTCATAGATCGATGACAGCCCTGGGTCTATAAAAGCACTATGTGGCTAACCACACATGCTGCACAAAGTGCTAATGAGGGTAACTAATGCAAGATCCAGTGACTTACAATAAATTACAGGCCAGCCCCATATCTTCCTTCCGGCAGGGTCTGGGTACAGCGCGCCAAGGCTTTGCTGAGGAAAAAAACAAAAAAACGATCCAGATAGCAGCTGGAGGTTCCAAAGTGGCTTAGATCAGCATTAAAGAAAATTTGCTTGAAGAATGTTGCAAAAAACAAAAGTAAAAAAGAAAAAAAGTCCTCTCGAAAAGACAGGCAGGCTGGGAATGGGAGGGGTTATGCAGGGCTGTTCTATAGCTTTGATGGGTTTGCCAGTGTCCAATCACCTGAAGGTAGCTTCGTAACCCAGTGATCAAAGAAATAACTCCCTGTGTCCAGTGATGTATGTTCAAGAGGAGTTTTTAAGACTAAACATAAAAAAGGCACATGGATCTAAATGCAGTATAAAAGTTACTGTTTAATAAAGGTTAAAAGTAATGCACTTACAGGATATTTAAAAACATCTCACATGTCACACATCAGATGAAAGTTCGATCTCAGCTGGTGGTCCAAGATTGTTATCAGGATAGACGGCACATGGAGAGAGCAGAGTCCAGTCCAGAAAGATTCCAGAACACCTGTGCTGGAAGACAGATCTGATCCAGTGGCTGAGCAGTGCTGTAGCTGGTTCTCCTCAAGACGAGATCACAGCTGCTGAGTACGTCCGGTTCGTCAGGTGTCACATGTTGCTAGGCAACGCGCTTCAGAGGTTCACCTCCTCTGCCAGGCCAGCACACGCATGAGCGGGAAAACTGCTGAAATTCAAAACAGCCATCGATGGCTGTTTAAACACAGGCGGTCAGGTGGTTATAGAGCCGTCTGGTCGCTTGTATTTTGTATGTGGGTGCGCGGCCCCCCCCCCCCCCGCCCCCCCATAGCAACAGTTGTGCTATGTGGCACCTTTTTCTTCCTTTTCTAAAATATCCTTTTTTTCTTCTCCTCCCTCCCTCAAGCCTTTTGTAAAAAGTGACAAATATTGTGTATTTATATATATATCCTTATTTTACGATATAATGTACTTACCGCATATACCGTAAATAACAGTATGTTTAAGTATATAGCGTATATGCTAAAGCTCAAACATACCCTTCTATCTTCTCTATACAATTTCATTTTTTTAACCACTTGGGTCCCCAGACCTTTTTCTTCCCAAATCCTTTGAAGTCACAGGGTGTTTCACCCCCCCGCAATGTTGTGGTTTTGCATATCTTTAAGGTTTTGGAGTCTACCCCAATGTATTATACATCAATTTTTTGTGACAGATAGGGATTTCATTTGGTAGCAAATTTGGATACATGGGTTTTTGCTATTTTTAGTGTTTTATTTATTTTCAATAAAACCAAGTTAATAAAAATATTTTTTCTCTGGGTTCATTGAAGGAAACAGCCATCAGGTGATCTTTGACATTGGGTTATAATGTCAGGGGCGACCACCTGCTGGTGTGTCAAAACCCCCTCTGCAAAAACCCACTCAGTTAGTAGCAAGCATTCCACAGAAACTCAATACACCCACAATTGGGCGGGTGCTGTGTACTTGAATGAACACAGAGAAAAGGATTTTATGGTGAGCACAAAAATCCTATTTTCTTTCCCATTCACTGAAGGACACAGCCATCAGGAGACCTTGACCATTGGGACATCCCAAAGCAGTGTGAAATATAGGGTGGGTCCAAAACAGAGTAATGAAAAATAGAAAAGAAAATACTGGCCCGAAGAGCCAAGTAAAAAACTGAGTGGGTTGTTGCAGATGAGGGGGCGGGGGGTTTAGCCACCAGTAGGGGCCACCCCTGCGTTGGCTTTCGTTTTTTTTTGTATGCCTAGCATCCTACTCTTGCAGGTAGCGATATATAACCCAATGTTTGATCTTCTGATGGCTGTGTCCTTCAATGAACGGAAGAGAAATGCATTTTCCCGTCTTTTTACCCAAAGCAGCGTTAACCTAATTTGTGTACTTATATTTACTGCAAAATATAATCAACAGTCTGCTGATTAAATTCATATTACATTAGTTTGACTTTTATGTAATGTAGCAGAATAGTAAAGGTCAATGGTAACATTTGAATTTTACTTTAAGAGACCTTTACTCCCCTTTCAACATTATACTGTGACGCAAGCAGGAGGGGGGGAGAAACACTTTGCACAAATTGTTAGCGTAGCGTAACATTAGGATAATAGTAAGACGGGCTGATGAGGACACAAATCAGTATGATGGCAACTTTTCACAGGTTTGCGATTGCTGAAAACTTGAACATTTTATTCCCCTATGTGGGCATTTGATGCTTGCGCACTGAAAGCAAGTGTCATCCAGATCATTTGACATTGTTGTGACCTGGGGATTCACATTGGGATGGTATATTTTTATTTAATTCTAAGATATATGTATCAATATGCAAATAGCCACAAAAGATAAATATAATAGTGATCCACGGCTGTAGGGAGAGGCTGGACAGAGCCGTGACTGCTCAGCCCGAGTCTCTGTACTGACAGGATGCGCTGTAACATCACTACACTCCTGATGTGAGCACTATGAGGAAGCACAGTGTTTACAACCACTCCTACAGTGCTCTCCTATGGAGCGGCAATCTGAAGAAGCATTGGAAGCCACAGAGCTATCAGTGCATTAAAAAAAAAACGGCTTGTTGCATACGCAAAGCGTTTTCCAGCAAAACACACCTTCTACAGGGATGAATGCTAATATGTAACAAGTAAATGCTCTGCAAAAAAAAAAAGAAGCCGCCCCTGTGTTTAACAACAAAAATACGAAAACTAAAAAAAATTTATACGAAACGTCTTGTTCAAAAAATGTCTGTAATCTTTGTCAAACAATTTACAGTTTCTCTCAATTTAAAAGAGCAGAACATGCCTTCTGATCAGGCCTAAAAGTTTTTCAAACAGGTCCTTCTCGTCAGAAGCATAGGTGATCTGGAAGCCTGTGATGGCTGATCTGGTGAATAATGGTGTCTGGCTTCTGCTACCTGGATAAAGAGACAAAGACAAAGTTATTTTCTTTTCATACAAATGGCTTTAATATATTACCATTGTAAGTTTGCTTAAGTGTTCACATCTTTAAATCAAGATTTCGACTAGTCTAAATCAAAATTGTGCACCTTCACTGGCAGCAGAGTCTTGACTGATAATGATTGCACCAGTAGTCCGTGTTTTGTCACTTTGGGGCAGTGGGAAGTCCGAAGACAGACCGTAGAAAAGAGCACAGATTGGGTCAAATTCAGGATCCGGTTCCAAGTCACGTCGAGTTCTTGTATGAAGTTCCATGCACATAAGAGTCAGGTGTTGAACCTGTAACAAATAGGAAACATTATACTATCTGCTACACTCAGAGACCAGAAAGATAAAGATGCTGCCACTATATTGCTCCATAGACTGAACCATAGAGTACATATTTTGGGTTATTGTTGTACAATAACTCCAGATGACAAGTAAAATCAATCAGCAAACCACTAATGCCATCCACCAAATGCTAAAGCTTTGCCAAAGTTTACTTTCAAGTGTACATAAACCCTACAAATCAGCTTCTCTTATTTCCTCCCTTTTGGTTCACTAAATATACTATTGAAAGCATTCTGTTATACGAGTTTAAAAATACTTGCCGATTACGTCCAAACTCAAGAGCTGTCCTCCATACATGTATTGTGTTAACTCAAATGTAGCCTTCCAAGTTCCTATTTTGGACTACAGAACAATTATTCCCTATGTTGTGATGAGGAGGGATTCAGTAGTTTAGCAGAGGCAAATGAGCAGGGCAGAGAAAGTGTCCTGTGATTTCTGTCCACAGTGTGCTCTATGATGTCAGCCCACAACAGGACTTTAGGAGCCCAGTATATTTATGGCTGATAAACAGGTATTTTTCTGCACCTTGTTTAAACCCCCTTCCTGGCTGGGCCATTTTTCTGTATTCTGCGCTGCAGCACTTTGACAATTATTCAGTCTCGCAACGCTGTACTGAAATTCATTTTTTAAAATTTTGGGGGACAGATAAGAGCTTTCTTTTGGGGGTATTTAATCATCACTGGGGTTTTTATTTTTTACTATATAAAGAAAAAAGTACTGCAAATTATTTTTAAAAAATGTGTTTTTTTTTATGTGTGACTAACTTTTTTTTTTTACAGCTGAATGCAGAAGTGATGTAATATACATCACTTCCTGCATTCAGAGACAGTCGGGGAGATCAGAGGGTGATCATACTGAATTCCTCTAAACTCTGGTCACAGAGCTGCCGTGCCAGTTGCCGAGCCCGCACCGGGCACAGCAGAGCTGGGGACCAGCGGCAAGGGAGGGCGCAACGAGCGGCTACACATACATGCGATCAGGCGGCTCTACAGCCGCCGGAACACTTGTATGTAAACAGCCATCACCAGCTATTTATAATTCTGACAGTTTCCTGCTCATGCGCGAGAGGCGGCGTGGGCAAAAGGACGTTTCAGTATTAGTCCTTAACCAAGAATTATAGGTCTTCAATACTTTCCTGTAAACACTTCTTGTAACCAGTTTACAGTAATTCAACAGAGTACTGATAACTTTCGATGAGCTGTTTGGCTTTAAGGATCTCTTCCTCAGAAACCAAGCAGTCAGTTTAAACATCTGAACAAGTGAATTACGGATTGAACCCTGTGAGATTAAGTCCAACCTGTCCAGTAGAACCCAGGGAAGAAGACTGGTTAGTAATAGAAGAGAAAACCACTCTTGGGCCAATATGAGGAAATCAGAATGAGGTTCATGTCCTCATGAAGAAACTTCTGAAGAACCCTGATAAGAGATGGACTGGAGGAAAAGCATAGCAAAGTCTGAACTTCCAAGGGTCTGTGAGAGCATCCAGGGCAACTGCTCCATAACAACAGTTTTGTCTTGGTATTCTACTGGGGAGCAAAGAGATCCACTTCTGAGTATTCCCATGTTTATGTCAGGAGAACACCCGAGTATTTAAATTCCATTCTTCCTGGAGAACATAGTGGCGACTGAGAAAATCTGCCAAAATGTTATGAGTACCTTTGAGGTGGATCGCTGTCAAGGAGGCCAGATTTGCGCCTGCCCAAAGTGACAGCCTATATAAGGGTGAGAAAGTAGATCACCAGCAGTCGAAAGATATTGTTTTAAATCTTTGTGTTCATTTATTGATAAGTAGCGTCACATATCAAATAGTCAATGTTTCGGGGCCACGCAGGCTCCCTTCATCAGGGCGACATAGTCCGAAACGTTGGCTATCTGATATATGTGACGCTACATATCAATAAACACAAAGATTTGAAACAGTATTTTTCAAGTGCTGGTGATCTACTACTTTCTTAGCCTGAACATACACGGCGCCATCCGTGCCTATCACTACAAGCTGAAATGAGTGCAGGGGACACATCTGTATACTACGTAGTCTGTATAAGGGGACTTCTGGTACCTCCAAAAGCTAATTGCATACTCTTGGGTGCAGTCCCAAAATTTTAGGAGAAAAGCCTGAAGAAGTGTTTGATGAAAGTGCGCCCACAGGACGGCTGGAAAACAAGTCATCAGATCCACTTTGGACATGATGAATCTTTTAGGGATCGACTGATTCCCCTTAAGCTAGAAGAATTTTCTTTTCTGGCAGAAATATCTTCCTTTTTATTGCTTACAAAATGCACCCCACCGATGGTCACAATCTGGAAAGAAACCCAATTTGATTTCTGTACATTTATCAGCCAGCCCAGGCTTTAGGCTGGCTCTGAGCGAACTTCAGATCTTTCTCCAAATGAACTTAAGAGTATGCTGTCAGAAGTATGTTGTCCGGGTATGGGATAATGTTGATTGCCCGAAGCCTTAAGGGCACTAGAGCTATCCCCAGAACCTTGAAAAATATCCAAGGGGCTGAGGAGAGGTCAAAAGAAAGTGCTTTGAACTGAAAGTGATGAAACCCCAACCCTATCCTTAATGCCAACTGTAGGAAACTCTGAGAACACTTCCTGATGGGGACGTGCAAGAGTCCCTTAAATCCAGGTTTGCAGGTAAGGAATTAGGTTGCAGAATAGTCCTGACTGGATTCCATCCTGAAATGTTTGCACTTGATGGATGCATTCAAGAGTCTTAGGTTCAGGATAAGGCAAAATTTCCCCGAAGGTTTCTTTACTATAAAAGACGTGAGAATAAAAACCTTCACCCTGTTCTTGCCTCGGAACTGGAACACATTCTGGTCTACTAAATCCCCCAACAGTAGGCAAAGATCATTGGCCTTTATTGGGTCTTTGGGAAGATCCATCACCAGAAATCTCAAAAGACGGGGAGTATCAAATTCCAGCCTGTATCCTTCTTCTATAAGCTCAAGGATGAAAGCGTTGGAGAAAATTGATCTCCGCTGTGAAAGAAATCTACCTAATCATCCTCCCACTGGGAGTAAGGCGTCATTAGGACTAGTTTATTGGGGAGGGAGAATAAAGAGGATCACATGAAAAAGGCAGGTTACACAAACGTAGCATGGATGCCGAGTCACCTTCCCAGGTTTTGAGTCACAGGGCACAACGGGAAGAATAAGGGTTGACGATCAAGTGGACATTCTTATTGATTCTATCAAAGCATCTGCAATGAATAGCATAGGAAGAGACTCTAATTACTGTTCCCTGGGAGTACCGGCAACCAGGTGAGCCTTTAACTGAGAAAGCCAGAATTCCATATTCCTGGCAACACAGGCTGTGGTTAAGGTGGGCAAATTAGGAAGAGCAGAATCCCAAGCCGAAGGAAATTTAGAAATAGAAGCATCAAGCCTAAAGTTCTTATTTCCGACCATGGCTGAATCCTCATGGAACGGAATCTCAATTTCAAGTTATTAGATAGGAAAGGCTTTATTTATGGTTCCGCCCATTCCTAAAGGATGGTGTCACAAAGTATTTTGTGGACAGGAAACACTCTGGACTTCCTCCTTTGTAATCCCTCGTACATCAGATCATGTCTGAAAAGATGAACCTTTTTCTCTTGAATGTACAAAGTCTCATAGATTTTAGCAAATTCTCTACATCCTACAGCAAAAGCTTACATTTACATATTCTGGAAGGATTGTCCTGTCAGCTATCTTCCTCAATGTAAGAGTCAGCCTGAGAGGGACTGGCATTGCCAAGATCCTACAGATCAGATCATTTATGCTAAATTTCCTCTGCTACTAGAACATAAAAACTTATTACCTAAGCTGGGCTGGTACAAGGGGTGCCTAAACCCACCAGAGCTTGAGTCTGCAGTAAGGGCTCCATGCTTGCTGCAGTGCTGTGCTCCAGACTGGCGTCCTCGCAGCCGCTGCTGGGAGGGAGCGGCATGATATACCAGCCAGGGCCTTCCCCTTGGAATGCACAGCCTCCAGAGCCCAGAAAGGAGGTCATCCCCTACCGGAAGTGATGTACTCTGTGACGTGGCCACACGGAACGCACAGCCCTCATCAAGGCACTCCCCAGACATGGAAGGGGAGAGGGAAACCAGGGAGAAGGAAACCTTCCGTCTGTACAGAGGAGGAACCCTGGAGGCCAATAAGACCGAAGGAGGGAGGGGGGAACCAAGCCTAAGCATGTGAAAGACAGAGGCTCTCCACCACATAGTTCCAACAGTAATGTGGCTTCTCCAGACAGGGGAAACAAAACAAACAAACAAAAAAAAACGGAGGCAGCCTTTTAACTTCTAATCTGGTTATAAGTTTCATGTCTGAGGGGAGGAGCCCCTGTCTCTCGCATGCTGTCCTGGGAGACAACTGGGGGGAAGAAAAAAAAAATTCTCAGTAAATCTGCACATCTATTACCAGCCTTAAACTCCTTCACTTACAGAGGAACAGGACACTCCCACAGAAGAGCGGGCGAGTGTTTGAAGTATGTGCCCATAGTAGAGGTCAGTAGTGGTAAAGAACCGGCTGCTGGTGGCATGGACATTACCAGACATAACCAAACATGCATCTATGACAGCCTTTCCCCTATTAAATCAACCCTTCCCAGTAGGTTGATCTCCGATAAGGGCTAAGGCATCAAACGACCCACAGCCCCTTCTGTGTATGTCAACGAACCTGTAGATTGCTGGACAGCAGCCCTTTGTCAGTGAAAAGAGACAAAGACTTGTCTGGTGGACCGTTGATAAATCACTTAAACTGTGGCTAGCCATACACAAAAACTATATAATATTGCAAAATACAGAGTACATCTCAAAGTATAAATTACCTCATGTAAGACCTTTGCATCCTGAAGATTGTGGGAACTGACTTTGAAACCGTAGGAGTTATTTAGAGAAGGCCCCTCGATCTGAGACGTTTCCTTCTTCACGTGACCCAATGCAGCAAACTGATTCTATGCACAAGAAACAAGCGACAGAAGATGGAGCCTCAAATTACAGATGACACAGGATTCATGAAAGCTGCTCATAGCAGCAAACGTTCACGTTTATTTTACCAATAGATGTTAAAGAACAAAAGCCAAAACTTTGTGGGGAATATAGGTTTCTTTTATTATACTTTCAAGGGACAACATCACTATGTTGACAATTTTAAGCAAAACCAGCGGATCTTTACAGATTACCTTCAGTCACATTGGCCCATCTGTGGATGCCTGTGGGTTTGGAGTTATGGGAGTTTATATTCCGGTAGCAAATCAGGCCCCTCCACCTAACAGGTGCCTACATCTTTGGAAAATCCTGGTCTCTTGAGCAATAATGTCACGTCTGCCTCATATCTGTATTACTAGTAAAGCAAAATGCTGGGATTCACCACCACTACTCTGCCATGACCTGCAGCAGAGTAACAATGCTATTGGTTACCCCTAGGCCATTGAGTACTAACCTGTGCAGGCCAGAAGTTTCAAAAAGGCCCCCAGCAGCGCGTTGAAGATGTTGGCACCCTGTTGGGTGTGTTTCAAGATACTGCACTGACCTAGCCTCTCCACAGCAAAAGCAGAGTAGCCAAAAAGTGTTAAAGTTTTCTGAGAAGATGACTGGTTATTCCCAACAAAACTGTATGTGAACTGTTGTCAACTCGTACCTTCATCTGAGTGGTTAGTAGTACTCTCCGCAGCTTATCAGGGTTTGCTCCTCTTCTCGGATTCATTTTTTGAGAACGTGCTTTAGAAATTAAAAGACAATATACAAGTGAAACTCAAATAATTAGAATATCGTGCAAAGTTCATTTATTTCACTAATGCAACTTAAAAGGTGAAACTAATATATGAGATAGACTCATTACATGCAAAGCAAGATAATTCAAGCCATGATTTGTCATAATTGTGATGATTATGGCTTACAGCTCATGAAAACCCCGAGAACCCCAAATCCACAACCTCAAAAAAGTAGATTTATTACATGCAATCAATAAAACAAGGATTGTACATAGAACAATATCGGACCTCTGAAAAGTACAAGCATGCATATGTACTCAGTACTTGGTTTGGGCCCCTTTTGCAGCACTTACTGCAATTACTTTTGCAAGATATTCTAATTATTCGAGTTTCAGCTGTATATATTAGAGGGAATAGTGAAAATGTAAATTATGCAAAATCTTAGAAACTGCTATAGGATTCCTTCAGCTATATCTATACTATTTATACTCATACACAAAGGTGGGAATATTACCAAGCAGTTCTCACTGCCTAGGACAGCTCGGCTGCATGAATCCAAGACCTTCCACAGCCACAAGTGCTCAGCAAAGTGTATACTTTGGATCATGTTAAAATGAAAAAGACTGCGGATTCTGCCCATGTAGAATGATGCAGTACCATTTATTTTAACACTGCTTCTTGAAAATGCTGTTCCATGAGAGAATCCGACAGTAAAAAGGAAAACAGGACTAATGTAGCTTCTGCATTTTCTTCCAGTGAGTGCACCCAAGGTCCACTTACACTAAATATTTTGTGAAAATTATTACTTTACGGCAAGCAATAGTGTCTTAGCCAAACCACCAATTGCATTTTTCCACTTTTAACCATCTTTGACGTGATGTCAGCAGCCCCAGGGGATTCAGAGGTGTCACTCTAGTGACTCCTCCAACAGCTGCTACATAATAGGTTAAGTAGGGAGATGAGGAGAAGGGTGTAGGAGCTTGGCTAGCACAGACAGTAATTAGACACTCCCAAAAATACCTATGACGTGCAAGGACAGAGGGGAACTGCTAGAGAATTGACTAGTCAAATTTTCTAGCATGTTCAAATGCACACTGCAAGTTAATTAAAAATAACTAATGGAAAGAAAAAACACTGACAATTAGCATTTAAAGCAGAACTCCAGGAATTCTTGGGGGGAATAGCCACAAATTACATAAGTTACCGCTAATGACTGTCCTATGTCCATGAATGGATAAGGGGACAGGAAAGGAAGGGTGAATGTCAGGATCCTTCACTGTATGAGAGCCGGAACTCTTAGACGCAGCACCCAAAGAACAGTGTGTAGCACAATGATAAAGTTTAGTTTAAAATTCAATAAAGCCAATCTATAAAATATGTTTTGACCTAGCGCTTCTGCCTTGCAGCACTGGGGGTCCCTGGTTCGAATCCCAGCCAGGTCACTATCTACAAAAAGACTTTGCATGTTGTCCCTGTGCTTGAGTGGGTTTCCTCCAGATACTCTGGTTTCCTCCCACACTCCAAAGACATGCTGCTGGTATGTTAATTGGCTCCTGTCTAAATTGGCCCTGTATGTATGCGTGTGATATAGGGACTTTAGATTGTAAGCTCCTTGAAGGCAGGGACTGATGTGAATGTGCATGTAAAAGCGCTGCGTTAAAAAAAAAAAAAAATGTAAAAAAAATTGTCGGCACTATATAAACACCTGAAATTAATAAATAAGAATTGCAGCTTCCTCTAAATGATAGGACATCTCTTCCATAAAACTATGGTTTTCATTCGAGATTAAAATAGTACCAGATGATCACTTGGTGTAAATTGTCTAAAATATAAAGAATACAGGGCATGCATTTCACATACTTATTTGTACTAACAGCAGTCGGATCTGCTTCAGCCACATGGGGAATATGTTATTAAGCAATCATGTATAGCAACATACCTGTGGTCACAGGAGTAAGTGGTATCACATCGGGAAATGCGATCCTCCTTTCTATGACTGGTGTACTGTGAAGGCAGGCATGTTTAGATTTGTGCTTCTTTTGTTTACAGAGAGAAGGAGAAGGGGTATGGACCCCACTTTTGAAAGTTCTCAGACTCTTCTTACTGTCTTCTGGCTCACATTTTTCAGTTGGTGAGGATGGATTATAATTATCTACACAGTCATCATCAGCTCTAGGAGACTGCTTATGATCTACAGGAGCAAGATTTTGCCAAGGTGCCAATGTTGAGGAGTTTGGCGAAATACATCCATCAGACAATTCATTTTCATTAGTCCTTTTGGTGGATTCAATTTCCTCTTCAGCAGTGAAATCAATTCCCCCTTCTACCTCCTCCCCATCAGAAGCATGAAGAGGTGGTGGAGGACTAGCTATATGAATCTTTACATTTTCTTCATCAACAGGTTGATCCTCTGAACTAGCAGGCTGTGCCAAAAAAATGTTTATTTCCTTTGGAGGCAAGCTGTTACAACCACTAGGTACTGCAGCCATCTTTATATTCTTATTGTCACTTCTTGCTTCATTTAACGAAGCTTTGTCTGACGTCTTATAAGACTCATAAAGCTCTTTGGCCTGAAGCCATAGCTGAACCTTCTGAGGAGAAGGAGCACTTTTACATGGCATGATCACCAACTTTTTATCCCCATCAGGATTCGTCTTGTTCGGCTCTTGCTCAGTGACCTGTCTGTTCATTTGACCGGGAGAAATTGGCCCAGGGTTCTGTGTCATTGCAGAGAAAGCAGTCTTCCACAGCTTCAGACCTTCCATTAAAAAGTCGCCTTCAAACTCAGGAAGATTGTGTGCTAATTTTGTCTCGACGGTCAACATTTTTCCTCCCACCTCCCTGTGCATAGAAAGCGTTCAAAATTAGGATGTTTGGTGTAAGAAATATTGTGAAATAAAGACTCAAAAGCTGTAGTACTGTAATATGGCCTTGACATAAAGCTCAACATACAAAAGTCTAGTGCTGCAATATGGTCTCACCATAACAAACTTCTGTTCTATACACATGCAGGAAAATTACCCTGCTTTTTTCTCTGGAGTGTTTGGTAAGCATCAATGAGAATCCTACAGCTGCCGAAAGCAATTCCAGTCCATTTGTGGTATACCTACATGCACCAATCTTGAAGCAACCATAGTTTAACCAGTTGACATCCGCGGTGTTAAACCCCCTTCCCAGGCCATTTTTCAGTATTCAGCGCTGCGGTACTTTGACTGACATTTATTCCGTCATGCAACGCTGTGCTGAAATGAATTTTATATCATTTTTTGGGGACAGATAGAGCTTTCTTTTGGTGGTATCCATTCACCACTGGGGTTTTTTATTTTTTACTATATTAAGGAAAAAATACCGAAATAGTCCCCTAATGTCACCTGTGAACCCCAAAAGAAGCTGATGAAGCAGAGATCTGCTTCATCAGCTTCTTTTCTCTGGCTATAGCAGCCAGATGACTGACAGGTGAATGCGGAAGTTATGTATTACACATCACCTCTGCATTCACAGCCCGGAGGGAGGTCAGCAAGGAGCTGATCTCCCTTCCTCTTCCTCCTGACGCCCTCCCGACCCGATCCTGGGCTGCAGATGGGGCAGCGGATCCCGGGATTGAAGGTGAGGGGTCAGGAGGGGGCGATCGTCTATATGTGAAACACCCGGCAACGGGTGTTTGCATTGGTTGGGTATTTTCTGCCCGAGCGCGCCCGCTAGGCAACCCGCCAATGCTGCAGTGCCGTCCGTCCGTTTTTTTTACAACGGGCGGACGGCAACTGGTTAAAATAGTAAACAGTATATTTGGACTTGCATATGACAATCTAACACTTAATTATATACAGTAATACAAGAAGTCTCCAGTATAAATATTTTTTAGTTAAACTGGACTTTAGGCCTGAAAGTTCTAAAGCAAATGATAAAAACATAATTTTTATTCTGATAGTCATTTGAGTGCAGTACTAATACTAGTACTAGTATTAACTAGGGATGTACTTAAAGAAGAACTCCTGGCAGAACAGAACATAGATACATTCTCGCCAAAATCTTGGTCCCATCTGGCTGCTAGATCATTCCCTGCAGCCTCTCTTTCCCTTCGCTTTGGCGGTCTAAGAACCCATGAGTCATCACATCCAATACAGTGTATTGGATCTGAGGATGTCAAGGGACATTCCATTGCAGGAGCGGAAGGGGGTAAGCTGCAGGCACTGGTCTTGCAACCAGACGGGACTGAGGTTCGGGTATACATGTTATTTTAGACCCTAGACAAAAATAAACACTTATAGAGAACTATGGGGCAAGTGTCTTTCCCCATATTTCCTTTAAGGGTCACGAGAGGACATATACTAGCATCCTCCCGTGACTCAAAGCTCAGTATATTACGAGCTATAGCCCACGGTATACTGAGAGTGCCGCAGCCGGGACGGATCCCGACAATGATGTCGAGATCCACCCATCTAGGTGAGAGTGACAGCTGGCTCTGCCTATCTGGAGGCAGGGCCAGCTGTACCCGCCCCCTTCTGTTCATCCAGTCAATGCTGGATGATTGGAGCGGGGAGGGGGGGGAATCCCTGCGGGGAGCAGTGACTGACAGTCACTGTTCTCTGCAGGGAGATGATCGTGAAGTGAGCGAGCGACAGTATGTTTGCTCATTCTCCGATCAATAGAGCCGACGTCTGACAGTTTTATTGGCACACGCCAGCTCGAACTAGGAGGTTGAGTGATTTTCACTCACCTCATGGCTCTCCTTTAACCCTTGCAGTGTGGGGGTAGCCCAAAACAACTGTAACATCATGCAGTGCTTTTAGATTTCATCTTTGGAAAACACCAAAGTACAAACATTTAAGGATCCATTAAAATAAAACTCAATGTCCAATCCAGGTAAAACCAGCTGACAAAAGTCTAATCTCATGTACACATTAATGACCACCATATATGGCCCTTTATTGAGAACATTTTCTTCTTTTGAAATGTGATGTAAGCATGTAATGATTTTATTTTGATTTAATATCTATGCCTAAAGGCTTACCTTGGCTTCTCTGGTGCATCAGAAGGATTGCTGAAAAAAGGTTCTTGGTAAACGGTTTCCATGAGATCATGATCAAGTAGGGTTGCCATTATTTCTTCACGGCTGGGTGGGGACATCAGAGGCTTTAAAATATGAACAGGTCGAGGTGTAGCACTTCCATTCTTTGATTGAGATGGAGAACAAATAGATCTTGGTGAACTATAAGGAGTTGGAGTAAGCCCATCACTGTGTCTTGCAAGAAACAAGTCTAAGTCACCATCAATAAAATCAGTTTCAGGTGAGGAAGCAAGTCCAGTAAAAGAAGAATTAGAGTTAGAGTGACTACAAGGATCAGATGTTGACTCTTTAGTTTGAGTATGCATTTCTGTATGAACCCATTCAGACCGAGGGGCAATGAATGAGGCCTCTTTCAGTAGTCCTGGCTTACTTATTTTACGTTTGTTAGTATACAGAGTTTCTGACTGCTGGGCAAATGTACCCAACACATCTGTTGAAGATGTGCTGTGAAATTTCTGGGTAAGAAATCCATTCTTCCGGTGGCTAAAGGGGAGACTCGTTTTTATGTTCACAGAAGATTTTTCAAACAAGTCTGGACCAAGAGAGCTAGGTCTGATTAGCACTTTCCGGTCCATCAAGCGGACATTTTTCTCCTCGGTTTCTTGGTTTTCCTGTTTTACAGAGTCTTGATCTACAGTCTGGCTAGGTACAGGGTCACTCAGAAACTTTTGTGGCAAATTTTGATCTGCTGAAACAAACTGACTGCCTGTATATGAACTGCAAAGTCCTACAGAATTGATATCAAAGTTGTAGGCATTATCAGGAGATAAACTGTCCTCAAGAGAGTAGCAGCTTTCGAAATCTGGGTCAGAAAAGATTCCTGGACTCCCATCAGAAGTTGAACTTTTCATTTGCTGGTCACTCTTATGTTTAACCAAGTCATTTTTCAAATTCTTCTTTGCTTTTGGTTTTGTGTTTCGTGGGGTCCTTGGCTTCTTGTTAGGCGTTGCGCACTGAGATTTCGTATTTGTGCACTTTGATTCTGTTTGATTTGGCAGACTACTTTTAGGCTTACTATGGGATCCTTCTGGGGTTCTTTGAACCTTCTGTTGCTTTTTGTGGAGTAATTCCTTCAAAACAGCAATTCCAGAATGTACATCCAGGATTCCTTGTGAAGAACTCGCCTTGGTAGAATTCTGTAGCATTTTAGTTCCAGAAAAAATATTCGGTAAACAATTCTGGCTCAGCTTCTGAGGAGTGAATTCTGTTCCATCAAACAAGTCTCCTTTTTCTTCCCAAGAAGACATTTTTATAGGACTTCTTAATGAGTTCACCAAAGAACTTTTTGAAAACGGACTTTCTGAGGAACAACTTGCATCACTCTGCTTAGCTGAGTCTTGTAAACCTGTAAGGTGTTGTTGGCTATTCATTGTGCAAGGTAAAAGCTTTGACTGCAACTTCTCAAAAGGCATAGAGTCTGGAACATTTTGGGTGTCCCGCAATTTTCCCACAGAAGCTAAAAGCCTTTTCTGCACTTCTGTTGGATCTTCTTGAACAAAAGGAGAACAATTCAGAATGAACTGTGCACTCTGTATTACCTGAGATGTGCGAATAAACGATTTTGGAGTTGCATTTGACTCCTTTACTTGAAATATGTTAGGGATTTGTGACCCCAACGTATTTAGCTTGAATGGCTCTGTGTTTGCATTTGGCAGCAGAGGCACTGATACAGACTTGGACTCCTTTTGAACTAAAGAACTCTGAGAAAGAGTAGACATAGATGAGCCAATGAGCAAGGGTTTTTCAGGTGAGTCTGCCTGTGTGTTGCAAGATAACACCTGTGTTGAGTGGACATGTCCAGTAGAAAATCCAGACAGGGACATGTCAGATGGCTGAAAAGAATAGTTTGGTTTAGCATCTTCATCTATAGGGGTTACTGGTTGCTCTTGTACCTCATACGCTAATGACACAGTTTCAGGTTTTCCTCTTTTGTCCAAATCTTTAATTTTTGTGTGTTTTCTTGGAGCCTTTTCACTTTTTTTCTGCCTGGGTTTCCCTATATGCCTTTTTCCATCTTTGCCCAACTCAGTGTGGTTTACTTTATTTCCTTGTTTGGCTCCTTGAGAGCTTATTGCTAGCTTTTTTCTAGACCTGTTTGTTTGCTGTTTACGTGGTCTTTTTCTGGAAGAAACATTTTCTTTCTTACCACTACTTGATGGATAACTTTTAAAGAGAGGCGTCTCTTCAACCTGACTTGCTATTATTTCTTCAGCTCGTGGATCTGAAGGTGACCAACAACGTGGAGGAGACATATTTATTGGGCTTGAACTTCGTTCTGTAACAAAGCCAAGTTTTGACATGACATCCTTGTACTCTGTATCACAATCCTTTGCGTCATCAATATATGATGGCATTGGAGGCATAAGGAAATTACGATGTCTCTTTTTCCTCAGAGGTAGGGATTGCTTAAGAACATTACTCTCACTCTTTGGAACTCTCCCAGTCTTCTTCTTGCCAGATTTTGGCTTAGTTTTTCTTTTATTGTTTTTCTTTGGTGTGCTTGGAAATATCGGGTATTTGGTTGCAGGAGAGTCTGGCACTTTTGGCCAGAAATATTTTAAAGGTGCCATCGTACTATACAATTTAATTTTATCATCTGTTAGTGTTACTTGCTGTTCACAGGGATCTATTTTTTGTAATTTAACTTTCATATTTTTCCTGCCTTTAAACCGGTTGATAATTATATACTTTATAATAACTGGTGGTAATTTAGAAACCTTTCTGCGCTTGCGTGATTTTTGAGAGGTCACATCACATTCATTGGCTTCAGTGGGTTGAGGTAGATTAGCTTTAGAACCATTTGCTGCCATGTTCGAATCCCCATCTTCACTTTCAGAATTGACTTTCCGTTTTGTTCTTAAAGTGTATTTATTACCATAAAGTGCTAAAGAGGGGTCCGAATTGCCATTCCCCTCCTCAAAAGGACATTGATAGCTACTCACTTCACAAGTATCCCCTTGAAGTGTACCACCATCCATTATGACAGCCATGTCACAAGATGGTACCCTGTCAACATCAGGAGGGCTTTTGCTACAAGCATTACCTGGGGTATAAGTGCTGTCTTTTTCCAATTCAATGTTACTTAAATTTGAAGTGCTCTGAGAATCTAAGCAGTCCACGTTTTCATTTTCAGCTGTATGTTGTTCTAGACTGAGATCAGTTTGTCTGTCGTGCACTATACATTCTTGGTGGTCCCCTTCCCTCTTTATATCTGCAGTTTTTTTATTTACTGTAGCCTTTAATTTTTTAGTCAGTTTTAACCGTGAATGCTTTTTAGGCTGCTTAAGCCCGCAAGCCGTTGGTGTAGCCTTCTGTGGTCGGTTCAAACAGTTAGATAAGACAACGCTGGGAAAAAACTTGTAATGGTTCACCTGCTGGTTAACACTGGTAACTTCTGCTTTGTGTTCCTGAAATTCTTCATATCGTATCTTTATTTTATTAAGGCTTCCTTCATTAATATCATTATCCACAGGGTGAGCTGTGATTCTACTACCATCAACACATGGATTGCGGTCGCCACAACTTTCATTTAAGGCTGCATGAATGACACTGTTTGGGGCAATGTTACATTTGTCACTGGAGTCTGAAGTCCTTTTAGCTTTGCTATTGCTCAATTCTGTATAACTTCGTGGGGTTCTATCTAACGTTCCATCAGTGTTGTGCCGGTTCATATGCAAGAAAGAGGCATCTTTATCTTTTCTAATGCTGGTGAATTTCCTGCACTGCAGATGTCTATTCATCGAGGAGATGCCATCCTCATAGACATTCTTGTCAATGGCTGAAATAGAGACGATGTCATTTATGTCTCCCTCTTTATGAAGAATTTCTGAATGAGCTGTTTTGTTAAAAGGTGCTGGATATTTCAGACTGTAAGTGCTATCATTTGTTAATGAATGGACAGAAAGTTCAGCTCCCTTTTCCACAGGTGACTGGGTAAGCTCTTCTATTAAACCCTCTTTTTTCAGCAAATGATGAGAAGAAAGGGCACTTGTTTGCTGACACTGGAATGCAGTTTTGGCAGAAGACTGTGGTTCCAATGAAGCAGCATCTTTGTGAAAGATGGAGGGTTTAATTGACAACTTACTCTTTGCAATGACAGAAGAGTGGGTTAGAGTACTTTCATTATTTAATGCGTTGTCTAAAATTGAAATGAAAAAAAAAAAATTGTTAGATTAAAAAACACTATTAGCAGGTTAAACATTAAAAAGCAAATTCATAATCTCTACATTAATATCAACACTATAGATTGTTCTGATCGAGAAGTGCTTAAAAAAGCAGTTTGCTTTAATCTGGAAATTTCACAAGTTTGCTTATGTGGCCCTATAGAGGAACTATAGGATGTATGTAGATGAAGATTTCTAGGTTACAGGAAACTTAGAGGTGTGTGTCACTCTATGGAGATTTTCACTTCTGCTTTTTTCCAATGACAATGCACCTACATCAGCTGGTAAAAAGAGAGCAACAGGAAATGCGTTCCATACGGATTTTAACTTAGCCGAATATCGGTCAACATTTTAGAGTGTATTTCCCCTGTTTGCAGCCAAACTGGGATAAAACCTATTTTATATTTGTGATATGTCCCCATTCACTTGGCATAACTCAGGGGGAAAAAATGCTGCATACATTTTAAGTCCTTAAAAATTCTACCTTGCTTCCTCCTATGTAATGTTAAGGAGAGGGCGGTGGGAAGTTATGTTTACTCTAATTAACCCTGTCTGTACTGTAGTGGCAGATTTAATTTTCAGTTGTAAACTAGATATGAAAACTGTCTGTACTAACAAAGGGTTAAAGACTTAGAAGCATTGCATGTTAATAATAAGCAGCTCAGTCTGTCCTTCAGTTTGACCGTCTAATTTCACTTAAACTGCTCAGAGTCGCTTGGAATCTGCACAAAGGCTTTCACCAAAGAGATGTGTAAAAGGTAAAAATTATAACTTTAAAAATTATTTAAGATATGCAGTGTGAAAAGGAACACATTACAAACAAATAGGTTTTCGTCAATTAAACTTGCAAAAGTGGAACTACACTTTAAGGACTTCATGTGCCTGCGAATATTGCAGTGACACTGTATTTTTGAAAGACTCCATTGGAATGAACTTGAATGGCAAGTATGTAGGACTATCTGCACCCGCCCCAACGCAGTGCAACGCAAAGTTTTATTTCCAGCCATTACAAGATAGGGTCTGACTATAGAAATATTAGCAGCCTGCATTATGCATATGCCGATGTGAATTTGGGGACTAAGCAAACAAAAAAAATACACTAAACCCCCAAAATATTATACAGGAATAAGTACAATGTACGTTCAAATAATTTCTGCATGCCAGCACATTAGAGTATTAACTATGTTTGCAAAATGGACACTGCCCTGCACATTCAAACCTTGATGTAAAAGGTACACTTTAAGAGGCAAATTTTCCTCCCTAATAAATTTGTATTATTTTATACAAATTACAAAGAAACAAATTCAATTACAAACAATAAAACAATCAATCTTCTATTATACAGGTATCTATTCTGATCTCCAATATCTAGGGATCATTGCTCTACCTGCTGCCATCAAGTGAGCTGTTAGACCTTTCTTGTGTGATTTAATTGATCCCAGGAATCTCAGGCCAGTCTACCCCCTTCAGTTGCCTCCTCATTCCAAAGATCGATTGCCAGTATGGTTTACGTTCTGGGCATGACCACCAAATATGTAACATGGTCCCTACTCCGCTCCTACATCTCCAACATTTATCTGATGCAGATGGATACATTTTACTTAAAAAATCTTGTAAAGATTTTATAATTTTTTTCCTCGTTCTGACTTGCTATACAACTCTTAAAAGTCATTAAAAAAAAGATTTATCCCAATCAATTTCAGAAATAGGATGACCCAGTTCTCTCTCCCAATCACTGATGTAATAAGGGACCCGTGGGCTTGCCTGGGACACTAGAATATGATACATTTGTGATATGCTCCGCCTGCCATCTGATTTATCAATACACCTTTCTTCAAACGGTCGGAGATTCCTATGAATTACTCCTTGAGATCTGATTTGAGAATAAAATTGTTTAAGTTGTAGGTAGAAATATTACCTAGAGATGCAAATTAATATACTTCCATCATTGCCTAGATAAAACATTTTTAGGAAAAGAAAAACGTAATACGTAATAAAATTCTACCCACCACTGTTCTCATCTGCTGTGCCATCTAACTGAGGTATTGCAAGATTTGCTAGAAGCAGCTTGTTACTATTCCACTCCATTTCACTGTCTGAGGAGTCTTCTTCAGATGAACTGCCATCAGCGTTCTTAACAAGACTACAAAAGAGAATAAAAAAGGAAAGTATAGATCACTCAGATAGCAGACTTGGAAACCATAGGCACTGCTTTAGATTAAATTAAATGAGAAATATACCATCCAAAATGTATCATGCACTACTGAAGTTGTGTATGACATATCACTAATGGGCACTTGATCTTACACAGGTAGTTATGTCAACATATGGTCATATGAAGAATGTAAACCATCACAATTAACTATTATTTTTTGCACCCTTTTGGACTAGTAAACATATCATTGAAAGTTTTATTTTATATTACAGTTATTACAGTGCAAATACTCATTAATCCTGCCAGTCATCTTGTAAGTCGATAAATTCCTGTGTTCCCTCTACCGGTTTTGTACATTTATCAGTTAGCATCATTCCAAGCTCTCTATGGGCAACAAAAAAACCTACCCTTGATAAAGGAATTCTAAAGTCACAGCGTATACTATCTAGTTATAACATCAGCACTAAAATAGGAATACATATTAGGAGTTGTTTTTATGCAATCAAGGTTTACTTGAAAAAATCCCTTTTATGTACGGTGTTGCCTATCACTTTTAACAACTTCCTGAAATCCTAGTGTGCTTTGAGTCTCTCCCCCCTGCTGCTTGATTAGATACAATCTTGTTTTCTCAATACTACATACCCCATTATGCATTGCTTCCAGCAAGTGATAATGTTACATTGTTTGAATTTCAAACAGCAGACTTAGAGTGGTGACAAAAGGAAACGCATATTCGCAGGGTTGAGTGACTGAGGAAATACATCCTATGGGCATCTTCAATAAAAAAAAGTTTACAAACTTCTAGATGGATATGGTGGGAAACAATGTAAGGAAGTTTAATATAGAAATTAATTTAGATTTTTGGGTTTTGATGATAGATACCCTTTAAGAAGTGGAGTGTTAAGTGGAGAGTTTGGAATTGCTGCCCTTGGGTGACAACACTGCTCTTCCACAGATACAGTATGGTAAGTGTTGTCGATCAAGGGCAGTAAATGCATTTCTTGCAGGATCACCAGATGAAAATAAAAGAAAGGAAGCCTGAAAAATGCAGCCACAACAAATAAGGATTTTTTGTTTTGTTTTTGGGTTTAGACACACTTTTAGATTGTATTTTATACCTATCACAGGTTTGCAGCATCCGATGACAATGTTTTGAAGAATTACAGATTTCTTTCTAGCTACTTTAAACCAGAACCATAGCTGTGTCTTCAGCTACTGATGAGTGACTAAAAAGAACTAGATTTCAAGTCTTCTCTAAAGTAGGAATATATGTATTTTTTTTTACAAACACACTACTAATAGCCTGGATTTCTAGCCCAGTGTAGCCCCTCCAACTCCCAGCCTTCTTCAGTTTTGTAGCAAGCAGTACAATACTGGATCACAGAAACCAAACCAGCGGGTAGGGTCCTGTGTCCTATGTTGTATTCCAAAATATGTTTTACAGGTCAGACAAAAATCCTGTTTACTTGACTGTACATCACCCCCAACAGGGAACGATAGCAAAAAGGGCCCACAATTTGCATAATGTTTGGCCAGCTTAAGGCTAGTACTGTGACCAGCACCTTGGTAAACACTTAAGGGGCAGAGGTTAGGCCAAATGGCAGGACCACAAGTTAAAAGCCCATCAGTCACACAGTAATGCATAGAAACTGTTGGTACACATGGGCTGCACATGGGCTGTATTACTAGACACACTGCGAGCAGCAGCGGAGACGTTGTGGCGTGTGAGCCGAGAACGCCACTCGTGCCTAGAATCACACATGCTGCAAATGCAAGGCGGAAAGGCAATGTAGCTTGGGCTAAGAGGCAAAAGTTCTCTTTAGGAGGACATACCTTTTTGCCATAGTTCTCACAGGAGGACATACCTATTACCCACTAAATGCTGACAGCACAGAGCCGCACTGCAGCTAGGACAGATCCCAACAATGTTGTCAGGATCCACTTCGCTGACTGATTGACAGCTAGCTCTGCCTATCTGTGCCCCCCCCCATCCGTCCCTCCAGTTAGTGCTGGAGGAACAGAGAGGGGAGGAGGAAATCCCTGCTGTGAGGGGTGAATGACAGTCACCGCCCTCTGCAGGGAGATGATCGGGAACTGAGCGATTGGTGGTGTGTGATCGCTATGTTCTTGATCTCTCGATCAATAGAGTCGTCGGCTCTAAATTATGGGGATGAGTGTCTGCCCATAATTGTCATTTAATTGTTGCTCTTGCTATGGTTTGTTTAGTTGTATTAAAAATACCAATGCAACCCAAAAAATTAGAAGATTGGGGTGGAACAATATCCTCGCTGGTGCATTTCTGGGGAACTCTAACTGTGAGATATCGGTGCACATGTTGCTTAGACTGCACACTTGCTGCTACCATTATAAGCAGCTCACATTGGATTATATTTTTATATAATTGAGAATACGACAGGAGGTGCTTGAACAAGCAAAAGTGGGTGGGACATCCAAAACTCCCAGGTAGAAATGGAACAAATCTGGAAGGTATGGCAGGGAGATCTCACTGTAGCAAGATCCAAGACATTCAAGAAGGCAGAAAATGACTCAGTAAACCAGATCATACCTGTAACTAAAATATCTATTTATGGTGTCCTGGCCCTTTAAAGGAAACAACATATGTATCAATTATTGGGGTACATGCACTTTTAATGAATTTATCTGTTGAAGGCCCCCAATGCCCAAACCCACCCCACCCTAATTCCCTGACAAGCCACATACTTATCTGCTTAACTTCTCTGAAACATTTACTGTGCGGCCTGTTCTGCTCCTACAATGCACAATGTGCTTACGTCTTCATTCATTCCAATGGAAAGTCTGTACAGATAGGTATGTGGCTTTTCATGGATGCTGGAAGAAAACAGCGCCCACTAAGGGCAAGTACACTTACCCCATTAAGTTTGGGATTAGCGGTTGGGGATATAAATACTCCTCTAATTGATTAAAGCTGCACTAAAATGAAAAGAAAACTGATTTCTGTACTTTAACATGCCCATTACAAGAAAAACCTCTGAAATGTAGTACCTTGAGGCCTAGTTCACACCACATATGCTGACATACATTTTGCAACCTCTTTTCAGCATAGGCAAAATGCATACAAGAAATCCATGATTGCCCATACCCCTTAAAGTGTTGCATTGCAGTACAAATTCTGCTGCGTTTTTAAGTAGACCTTCATTTTGCCATTTAAGCCAATTTAAACTGAGCTTTTCAAACATCTGTATTGCACACATTGTGTGAACACATGACATCTGGTGTGACTGAGCCCCAACAGGTGCATTGATTCCATTCGGTTGGTATATTTCCCATCGAGAGGCCAATTAAGTAGGTCAAATCTAATTAAATATCTTAACTTACTTAATAAGAGTATTGCTCAAAACCATCTTTAAAATGTTCTTAAGACAATATTTACCTCTAACTAATCACAGGCATGCCGGCAGTGCCCATTTTGAAACATGTCGCAGTCTCCTTCGCTCTATAGCAAGAATGACGTTGACACAGCAGAGTGTACTTATCTGCTATCTTGGAGCCCTCTCACTGGAATCTACCTCTTTGGTGCCGAGCTTCATACAGTAGTTCAAGCAGAGCTCTGTATACTAATCTCCTCTGGATATGCTGTAATAAACAGTGTCTGTCATCGGTAAAAATATAATCTACTTGCAGTTCTCCTCTATTTTTCAGTTTTAGGTAGACAATTGCACAATGACACCTACTGGAGCCATGACATTGTCATATGCAAAATTAGCATTGAGAATATCTGAAATACTAGAGATGTTCTAACTTGAATGCCAAGAGTACAAATTGCAAACACTTTGAAAAACACAGTATAGCAGATTTCTACATTTACAGGACACAGTATGGTGGCTTACATTCATAAAGGCATGCAGTCAGGTTTATATTGATCAGTTACATTTGCTTTTCTAGTTGCATACATACTTTCTCTTAGCATCATGTTCTTCCAAGTTGCTGTCCCATCTTTGAGACATTAATATGCTAAGTTCCATCTCCTCCTTTTCCACCTGGGGCTCATTTTCCTCATCATCACTGTTCTGCATTGTATTGCACCTTGAGGAGAAACTATTTTGAGATAAGCACTTGGACAAGTTCATCTGATAGCCATCATCTTCTAGGCCAGCAAGCATCTTTGCTGCTCTTCCTTTTAAATCTTTATCTGTTCTCATGCTCTGCAGAACTTCTGTTTTGCAGCAGACTGCCTTGTCTCAGGAATGTGAAATAAAACATTTCAACTGTCTCCTTTAAATTCTATAGGGTCTCTGTAGAAAATGTATAACTTTTTGGGGATTTTAAGTAATCTTTAGGCTTAAAACATGCATTTTAACATTGGTACAAAATATCTGGAAAAATGTGTCTGGTAACAAAAGGGTTAGTGAAAGAGACTATGCTGATAAAAAAATAAGTAAATGCTCTTGGTATAAAATCTACACACCTAGGAGGTGTGTGCAGATACCTGCAGCAGCACTAAAACAATCTGCCTGCTATGGCCAAGTACCAGGCTATTCAGAGGTGCTTACACTTTTTTTTAGCAGCATTTCTTTTCTTTAAAAAAAAAAAAAAATAGGACATTAGCCCCCTTTGACTAAAAAAAATAAAATAAATCAGCATAGCTCTGCATGCTGATATGAAATCATCTTACATTCATTAGCTAAACAAACATATTGTTTTTATTTACAATTTCTTTTTTTCCACTTTAGCACAAATTATGTAATTGTGTCCAAGCATTGCATCCTGGGAAGGTTACATCAGCAGTGCATTGATGGGAACTAGCACTTATAATCTCATTAAATGTCAGGGAAATGCATTTTCTTGCCCTGAGATGATGTCACATGCCCTAGTCACATATGCCAGAGTTCCGGGAAGTAAAGGGAGATCCAGTGACTTGCCCTTAGTTAAAATGGCCACTGTCGGTAAGAAAACTGGGGAAGAATAAAAAAATAAAAAGGTAGACAAAAAAAAATAAAAAGCCTGCAATCTAGAAGTATATGTTTGTAGATAGTCATTACTAAACATTTCTAAAGGTGCCTTTATTGTTATTTTAAAGATATGGGTAAAGTTACTCTTTAACCTAAAAAGAAGAAACTGACAATTTGCTGATAAACTGTATATTTAAATCTAAAGTCTACACAAAATATTTTAGTGTTGGCTGGTTGCTGGGAGGTTCATCATAAACCCCTATGGAACCTAACGGGTCACATTCCTTCTAGAGGTCACATTATGACTAGAGGTGGGATCTGCAGGGAAAGGAGTTCATTAGGGGATACATGGTCAACGGACAACTAGAGTATAATGCTGCCTAAAGGAGATTGGAGACTGGCAACAAAAGTTCTTAGTCAGTCAGTATAATCCCTCCCACTCCCATTATGCTTTGGTTTTGTGCAAATGCAGTAGTAAAAGTGGATAAGACAGAAGGGTGGGACCCGTTTCCCTTAATGAACTCCAAGAAAAGGATTTCACGTCATATATCCTGTTTCTTAATCATTGGGGGACACCGGGTCAGGAGGATTCTGAGACAGCTGGGACATTCCAAAGCTGTGGAGGGGGCAACACCAAAAACAATTGCTAGCAGGCATCAACAAAGCTGTCATCAGAGGAGGCCTGAACTTGTGAACAGAAGACCAGATGGGAAGCCTTGCAAATGGAAAGAAAAAATATATATAATTAGAAAAATGTAATATATATCTCCTCTGATGGCATACTAGTGGAGCACAGAGAGAGATAGAAGTTCAAGGTCCTAGTTGGAGTAAAAAGAAAGAAGCCACTTTATGGAGAAAGAGGCCTTGAGAAAACTGTGACCAAGTAGCACCCCACTAAATGTTTTATTTTTTTTTGCAAGACAATGCCACTACCCTCAGAAATGAGGTGATGGCAACGAAAAATGCAACCTTGTGAGAGTTGACATAGAAATATCTTCAAAAGGTTCAAAGGGCGGTATTTGAAGAGCTGACAGAACCAGGCTGCTAATCCACAAAGTCAAAAGGTGGACCTATTTGAGCAACACCCTGTACAAAGGCTTTCATCAAGGAATGAAAAAAAAATTGAGAGCAGAGATCTGACCTTTGATACAACTAAAGGCCAAATGTCGATCCAGACTGGAAAAGGGTCAGCTTACGTCCCACAAAGTATGTCCTGGGATGGCATTCCCTTGCACCATGGAAAATACGAGTTCAAAGTGCGATGATGGACCTTGCAAGAGGTAGATTTTCTAACCTTTAGAAATGGTGGTATAACGGAATCAGATAGGACCCAATCTCTAAAGGACCTGGGCTTCAGTCATGCCATTAAAATCATGACCGTTAAGGAGTGTGGTAAACCGGTACTTGGGATAAACAATCCAAGTGATCTGGGAGAGCCCATAGAGAGTCTGCCGGGAGTCTGAATACCACACTCGCCTGGGCCAGTTGAGTGCAATGAGTATTGGCAGAATGCTCTCTGTTTTGATTCTGTCAAGCAGACGAGGAAGGATCTATAAGAGGAAAGGCAAAGATCAGGTTACACTGATCCCATCAAGTGACCAGAGCATCCACTGCCACAGTTGGAGTATACCTTGATTTGAAGACAAACTTGCTTAGTTCATTGTTAAATCTGGAAGTCAAGAGGTCCACCTCTGGTATTCCCCACCTGTGACCGAGGTTTTGAAACATCTCTGGATGAAGAGACCATTCCCCAGAGTGCAGGCGTTGATAATTGAGGAAATCCACCTGCCAGTTTTTCCACCTGAAGTATGAAGAGCAGACAGGGCTGAAACGTGAAGTTCTGTTCGGGCCAGAATCTGCATGGTTTCTCTTTGAGTTGCGAGACTTCCGGTTCATCCCTGATAGTTGACATATGTCACTGCTGTGGCATTGCCCAACTGAAACTGCATGCACCTTCTTGTGTAAAAAATACCAGCTGTTGCTAGAAGGGGGCAAAATCAAATGTTCTTAGGCTATTTTCTCTTCTTGAATGTTCTTTAAATATTATGGGAAGTAGTAAAAAAAAAAGAACAAAGTGAATTGGGAAAATAACACATTATGGCCATTAAATGGAGCTGAGGATCAGAGGAAATACATCTTAGTAACAGATACAATGTAACAATTGTAGAGGCTTGAGGAAATTCACAAATAAATGTAACCGCAAATACCAGAGCCTGTAGTATTACAAAAAAACAGCTGGAAGCTGAACAACATCCTAAGGAACAGCCTGGTTTATCGGCTCCTAACCCCTGGGTCTATTTTCTAGCATCCCAGTTACAACATATGCATGGTTGGGAGAAGAATGGTAGCCATTCTTCCACCTTCTCCATTGTGAGTCACCTGTTTTGAGGATAAGAACCTCTTCTCTTACTTGGAACACTAGGTTAGGTCAATGCTCATTCTTCTATGCACACAATAAAAACTGGTGATCATTATGAATGTCGTTTTACCTTAAAAAAAACAAAAAAAACCAAGCGACTGTATATGACAGACAGAAACTGGCAGATGACCAAGATTTAAGAAATACTGCAATAACTGAATGCTGAACTGATGGTGGTAGATAAAGTGTTAACCTCATCATCTCAAACCTGCAGAGATTCAATCACTGATGCATACACTTGCCATTGAAAAATAGTGTTACAGAGGAGCATTTGTTATAGATTTAAAACAAATAAGTAGAAGGGCACACTGTGACTAGGAGCCAGGGCCTCTCAAAGGAGAGCTAAAGAAAGTTCTGATCTCACAGCCATCAATCACCAGAAAGCATCTCCCCAAGCGCATCACTGCCATTTCTAAAGCTTTTACAAAAGCTTATCTGTATAGCCTGTCTGAGGCTTTTCATGACCCAGCAGGCAAAAAACAATAAATCTCTTCCCTCACGCAAATCATTTCCCAGCATAACGGCAAAGTGTTAGATACCATTTAGCAATGATGGCCACAAATTTTTCAAAGCTCCTGGGTGGTCACAGTGTCTTGCAAACCTTGGAGAGTACAGGAAATCAATAACAAGTGATTCCCGGGATTTTGCCATCAAGACCTATATCTCACACTCATGCTAATAAAGCCAGGGGCTGAGAGATGAATAAAGGTTTTTCAGCACAGAATACAAACTGTCAACAGCAAAGTTATAGTACCACACCAATAGAAATGTAAACTAACTGGCATAACAGAACACGGTATCGTAGCCTCTAATGGGATGTTCTTAGAACAGGCAACAGGTCTGTCTGTGGTACACACAGTATTTAGCAAAGGACAGCGAAGAAAAGAGTAAATTTTTAAGAACACTTCATTATGTGCTATGACAATTTCCCTTCCAACTCTCCAAGTTTTGATCTTATGAGATGTCATCCTATGTCAGAACATACAAATGCCATTATCAAATAAAATCTGGTCAATACCCTGTAATATTTTGTGGTACTTCTACCAAAACAATTGTAGTGGTTTGAAAGCTTGGCAATCTCTTTCCCTATGAGAAGCCAACTCTACAGTTAAACAACAATCCTATCGCATATAAAAATGATCCCCAATTCCTGTGATCAAGTTTATATATGACCATTAATATAGGTATTATTGTACAGTCTTTCGGCAAAATGTCCTATTACAGTGGTTCTCAACTTGTGTAACCTCAGGACCCACATTTGTCCTTGGTCATTAAGTCGCAACCCAAGTCGCACTGCAATGGAATGCATGGCCTTAGGGTACTGCGCATTCCGGTGAGGGCTTATGAACTGTGGTTGGGAGGTGCGTTTGGGGTATCATTCAAATGAATGGCAATACAACAGACCTCCCACACCAGAATGCACGGTAGGTGCGATTGCGTGATACAGTGCTTTAATCACACGGTACTATGCAATTAACGTACTGTACTAGTGTGAACGATTCCTTAAAAAACAAAAACGACCACACAACCACAGACACAACCTCACACACACTCCAAATTTATTTTCTTTTTTGTAAAGGTCCACCCAGTCTCCATACCTTACGAGAGCTGGAGTGGATCTTCAGCCTAGGGTCCAGTGTGGGCTGCTGTGTTGTGATGGAGCTCCATCCACATGTGCATTGCTTGTACATCTCCTTTGCGTGCCCTGTAGAGGTGCTGGGAGCCAGAATGTGAAGTCACTCCGGTACAGGCACCTCTATAGGACATGTGAGGGAGCTGCAAGCAATGCACGTATGGATGGAGCTCCCTCACGGCCATAGCCCCATCCCACCTCAAGCTGACATTTAGAGGAGCCTCTCACCTAGAAAAGTGGAAGGCATGCAGCAACCCACTGAACACAGGGTCGGGACCCACTTTTGGGTCACGACCCAACAGTTGAGAACCAAGGTCCTAATAAATTTAGTGTATGGCCCTTGCAATGGGTACCTGGAACTATATCAGATTTAGTCATACATCTGCCACTACTACAAACCATGCACTCAATTATTATCCATCAAACATCTGCCCATGAAACAACAAATATGGCCACTTGGCAAACCAAACAATTTAAACATAAAGTCATTTCAATCAAGTTGGATAAACTACTGATGTTAGACCAGAAAATGACTTACAAAAAACTGGAGATTGGCTCAGCCTCTGAGACACAGGTTGGAAGCTTTGACTTGTTTCCATAATATTTAAAATGGCTTCTTCGTCAATGACAGCATCTGCATGACCCTCATCTTCACATAGTTCAGATTCTGTTAAAAGAAGAGACAATAAAATTCATAAATTGTGATGGGTTAAAGCAATATAAATACCCTGTTTAGGATTCCAAGGTGAACTAATTTAAAACATTACATGCCATTTTTTTTTGTTCCCTAGCAAAACATGTACCGTAATCGTTGGTTTAAAAGGGATCCCTGGTACTGCCCGGTAACAAGCTGCTAACACCTTCCATATGCATCTTGGGAAATAGAAGTATTTTTTCCCCCCTAACCCATTTCAAATTTTCACTTCAATAGCTCCGAACTAATATTATTAAAACTAATTTAACCTATACAGGAACATACCTATCTTTATCCGGATCTGAATCATTGGTCCTACAGCAAACACTGCTAGCACTGGGAATGGGGCCATAAGAGCAACATGGAGGAAGAGCAGGCACATGTTAAATTTTTTAGGATCTCACAACCTAAAAATTATTTTGCCACTAGTCCAGAGGTTATCCTTCAAGCACATTTAATCTAACTGTATTTATAATGTTGTTGTAAACCTGAGAGGTTACTGTAAATCTTTTTATATCACTAGAGTTAGTTTACAAAGCTATTGCACATGTGTTATTTTCTTAACAATTATACAGCAAGTAGTATTAGTTGCTGTAAATTATTGTGGCAGAAAACAGTTATAGCTTTATGAATTGCTCCACGTGTTTCCTAACCATCTTCTTTGCCTTCCCTCGAAAACTATAAATGTATAAAAATAAATGCAAAGAAGAAAATATATAAGTTTTCTGCTATCACTCCACTACTAAAACTGTATAAGGACAATGGATAATATAAAAAAAAACATTGAACTGAAAAGTGATAAACAACCCTTCTTGTACTCAATGCACTGCATGTGGAAATTAGATCGATAAAGCCATAAAACGCCCACTAGATGAACAGATGTTCTTTCCACAGTGTAGCTGGAAATAGAGAGCTGGCCAAGTAGAAAGCCTGTAAAATATGTGGAAAACTGGCCTTCAGCACGCAACTGCATAGAGAGAAAAAAAAATGCGACACAAACATGCTTTAAAAAAAAAAAAAGGCAATTCATTTTTCTTTTCAGGTTGGCCAATAAGGATGGAATGACAGACTGAGGCTGTGCTTTTGCAGAGCTCTGCCTCCAAAGATCATACAGTCAGGTCTTAAGATTTCTTCCTTGGCCAAAAAGCAAAAAAAAAAGTCTATTGCAGGGCACCTCCAGAAATGCTCCTTTTCTGTAAGTGCTGCAGCGAGATCCCCGCATAACCATCGCTGGACTGGACTTTGTAGCAGATATGAAGCATCATTTTTTTTAGCTACCACCTGGAAGTCAAAGGATTACCTGAGTGTTAGTGTGCAGCTGGAAGGGATGCACCCATACTAGTATCAGTGTCGATACCAAGTATTTTTGAGTGTGTACTCAAATACAAAATGCTCCGATACTTACCTCCGATACCGGAACTTCCAGTCAGAGGGAGATCTCCCTCTGACCGGCAGTGCCGAGGGAGCATGGAGTCGGCTGCCTTTCCAATCAGGAAGCCGGGCGGTGAGTTATGACCCGGCTTCCTGACTGACTAGGAAGCAGGCTTCACTTGTTGCTAGGCTTCCTAACCAATCAGGAAGCTGGGCGGCACCTAATGACCCCCCTCCCAGCTTCCTAATTGGTCAGGAAGCCAGATTGCCTAGGAACAAGATGGCTTCGTAGCCAATCAGGAAGCATGGAGGCGGGTCATGACAAGCTGTCTGGCTTCCTGATTGGCTAAAAAGCCAGCTTCACTTGTTGGTAGGCAGCCTGGCTTCCTAACCAATCAGGAAGCCAGGCGGCACCTCATGACTCGCATCCCTTTGTTCCCTGATTGCTAGGCAGTGTGGCTTCCTGACCAATCAGGAAGCTGGACAGTATCTCATGATTCGCCGCCTGGCTTCCTGATTGGTTAGAAAGCCAGGCAGCCTCAGCAAGAGAAGCCGGTGTTCTTTCGCTAGAACGCCGGCTTCACAGGCAATCAGGAAGCCTGTCATGATCAAGCTGGAAGGGTCATGATCTGCCGCCCGACTTCCTGATAATCGGGGCACACGGCACAAGGACTTGGTATTGCAAGTACCAGAAAAAAAAAAATATCGGTACTCGTACTCGATACGGAAAAAACAGTATTGGTGTATCCCTAGTGGCTGGGCTTCCTTTACTTAAATGCTAATTCACTTGCCTACTAGTTTGAAAGGGTTGGTTAAATAGGAAGTGATGTTGGCAGGAAAAAGAGGAAGGCAGGAAAGGGTTACCATACAACCATGTGTTTGAGAAGTACACACCGAGCTGCAAGAGTGAAAGAAGAGCAGGCAACCTTGCCAGTGTTCATTGACCAAGCAAAAACTCCATTTTGACTATTGCAGGAGCATGCATCAACCATCAGGACCGACTAACGTTCCTAATTTAAAGCTAAGTAACAATCAATTGTGTACATTATTTGTCCATGTCTAAACTAGGGTAGATAGAAAGTTTAGGGTTGATTGCTTGTGTATGGCTAGATTCACTGGTTTCTATTGTGCCTTTTAGTGACTGTTCACACGACGTCCGTTTTCTGTGCTGACCTGATCCGTGCGCTCCTGCACTCAAAATGCATCCCAATGTATCCCTATGTTGTTTTATGGGCTCCAGTTCTCATGTGCCCAGTCCGTTCAGCTTACGACAGAAAAATACTGCATGTCACATTTTGTACGGTCAGGAAACGCAAACGCGGCATAAACGCACTGCACTGCAGCTAACATACTAACAGCCCCACTCCAGCAAAAAAAAAAAATATTTTTTTTTTTTACTGGAACGCATCAAAAACGCGGCCAAAACGCACTGCATCGGTAGCACCGCGTCTGCAGATCCGGACCTGAAACTCATGTGGACCGGCCCTAAATCTATTTAACGTTTTGTACATCTTTTTACATCTTCAATCCAGGAAATATACTCTTTTTTTTTTTCCAACACCTTACACAAATAAGCAAAGCACCTTACTACATGGATAAAATAGCCACTCATAACATTGAATGATGGAAAGTAACATGAAAGACTTGTGAAAAGTGAACTTACTTTCCCACTGGTCCCGGTGTACCTCCACCACATTAGCTGGAGTGCAAGGAATGGCCTCTGTCGTCTCTAACTGTGAATGTAAAGTCAGTTCCACAGAGTACTCATCAGACAGGCTACTGTAATCCATGGAGTTAGATAGGGACCTGTTTGGTGACACAGAGTGATTTACACATAAAACTGAACTGCTGGGTTTTACTTCTAAAAGTCTTCTCTGCATTTACGTATATGATACACTACTATACATATTATACAGATAAAATCAAACACATACTCTATATGCAATTATATGCACTTTCTGGAGTCTATTAAAGGAACCCAAAAACAGATATTATAATTGTTAGTACTATATAGAGTAGAAATGTCAGTAAGATTGCAGAAGGCAGCGTGCATTGGTCTTCAGTCCTAGTACAGTGATTTTCATCATGGGGATCTTGGCACAGAAAATAAGTTTAAGGCTAACTGGTTAAGCCTGTATTTGTGGGAGGAGTCTGCGCATCCCCAGCCTTCATAAACCGCCTGCTCAGGCTTCCGGGTACGTGAGGGATCTAGCAGCGCGACCCTCCCTCCCATCCCATGATTTTCACATCTCATACTCGGAGTACGCCCCCTTATTGGCATACTGTCCATCCGGACCATGGCACACCTCAGGTCTGTATGTTTGCATATTTGTCTATTTTGTTTCAGTACATAGGAAGGAAGCATACGGTAGGCTTCAGGTTTTCCGGTTGTCAGAAGGTCCTTACCAAGCATGCGTTTCCCGAGTCAGGTAAGCAGACTCTGACTACAAGTGTAGGTTAAAATGTGTGTTCTTCCTAAACTGTTACCAACCCCAACCCTTTATCTAACTCTAAAAGTTGTATTTATGTTGTGTTGTGGTATTGTGCTCTGTGTATGTTTTGCTATTCATTCTGAATAACACCCAAAACACAGGTATACAGCAAGAAGCAACACATCAGCACTATAGTACAACAAAATCCACAGATGTGACTTCTCTCTGCTTATGGTGCGCTGTGTGGACAAAAACAGTGCAGTGCCACTTTGTGTTAAGATATGTTGACCATGCATTCAAAGGTAACGCTAATAGTGAATGGGTGCTAATTAAGTTAAGCCTAACTTATTCTGAATCCTAACAATTAACCTAACCCTTAATTTAACCCTCAGCACTTGACCCAACCCCTACAGCTGGCCAAAACATGCCTCAAATTCTATTTAAACCGTGGGTGGCCTTGTCGACACTACCATAACAAAGGTTGATAAAAAAAAATCGAAGGAGCTGGATGGAAAAATATCAGCCAAACAGTGTATCCAATCAGATGCAGTCACTATTCGAGTAACATAGCATATACTGGCCTGTAAAACTGGTTGTTTGGTCTAAGAAGTTGTTTGAATGTCATTTAAGACGACACACTAGAGAAAACAAACTTATTTATGAAGAAATAAATAGTCACCAGAAACAAGAGAAAATCCTCACTGGCAGAAATGATTTAGTTCCACCACCTTGCCTCTGGAAGTTAATACTTACACCGAGAAATCATTTTGTTTAAGGATTTCTTTTAGTCTCTTCTGAAACATTTTTTCACTTTCTGTCACAGCCACAAACCCACGATCTTTAGACAAAAACATATCAACATTAATCAGAAGCAATAAAACCTCCACACACATCTACAAGTCAATGACTATATATATTTAGAAAAGTGCAAAGATACTGGTAAGTATACATAATTCTTATAAATATGTACTACCTTTTACTTTTACACCTTCCAGGGAAATCTCGCTTCTAAACTGAGATCTCAGGGCAAAGAAAAAAAAAGAAGCTTTTTTTCCCTCTTTTTAAATAGATGAATGTAATGTCATATGGTGCATGCGTGAGATGAGACAAATGTCATTACACTCACCTGTTTAAAAGAGCCTTTTTTTAGCTAGTTATTTTCAAAATGTAAACATTTTTGTTTTGTTTTATGCAAATGAGAAGTAATGGCAGTTTCCATGACTGCTTCAGGAAAGGTTTAATTTAAAATTAAAGTAACTCCGTCATGAGACAAGTATGGGGGCTGCAACTGCTGTGTCTGTTTCAATATTTTTGAGTCACAGAATCAAACAAACCTGCTGTAAAAGAATGTCATAATTCCTTAACTATGTTTGTTCCAGGTCAGACTCAGAAATAATTCATGCCGGAAGAAGAAGGAGGAAGAAGGAGGAGGTCAGCAATGGCAGCCCCCTATACTTTCCTCATGACAGAACCACTTTAACTAAATGGTTGGCTGACTGTTGGGATCAACCAGAAGACAAAATATGAATAAAGCCCTATAAAAAAAAAAAAAAAAGTTTTTTTTTTATTTCAGGGAACCTATATTATTTGTTTAAGCTTTAATGGTGGCATATTGCAAATATTATAGACCAATAGTTATACTGTTATTAGTAAAGTTACCTTGTGATTCTGGTGCACCGATTTGAGAAGATTGCTGCTTCTCTCTACGACGCTGTTTCTCATCTTCCCATATTGCTTGCAGACCAGGATTCTTCCCTATCTGAGCTAAAGGTAAAAACACAATACAAAACATGTGGTAAGCACCATGCTTCATAAATGAGACACATGCTGACCCTTTTTTGAAAGGAAAAGATTATACCCCATGCTTATGTTAAAGGAACAGTGATTTCTTCACATATTCAGTTCTGTCATCTTCTATGGATTACAATATAAGATAAGCTAGATCAGAGGTCAACAAATGGTGGTCCGTGGACCACTGGTGAACATATTGGTGGTTCCCAGGCCCTCCACCAGCACTGCCACTCCTGCAGTCACACCTGCACCTATGTATGTATGTGTATATATAGATATGTTCTCATATTTTTTGTTTCCTCATATATTCTCATGTGTGTACATGTCTTAACAAGAAACTGCATGTTTGTTTTTCTCTCTCGCTCAATGAAATGTGGCAAACCTTGCACAGAATAAAGACGTCCCAAAAACAAGATTAACCAATTTCACCTCATCCTCTGTAACTACCTATGTCCCTATCCAAGCTGAAATGATCAACCACAGTGAAAGCAGCTCAGACAATAATGAGATTGTCAACCTCTCAAATCATCACCTCACAATACAGGAAACCGCAATCCTATCCAAGGGGCTTACATTTTGTCCAAGCACCAAACTGGACCACATACAATTGTACTCAGACTTGGAAGAATTCTTTAGAAGACTGAGGCTCAAGGAATTTTTCTTTGACAAAGATAACACCACATGCAGCCGGGACAGCAGAAAAAAGAACAAAGGTTTTACACCTGCAACAGGACATAACATCAAATTGGACAATTACATTGAAAGCTTCCGCACGTGAGTAGCATCCCTTGTTACCACACAACAGAAAAAAACTACAGACAACCTCCTACCTGCAGAAATAAAAGCCTTGCATAACTTACTGAACGATAAAAACATTATATATTTAAAAATTCATATTAGTGGTCCACGGGATTTAAAATTATGAATTTAGTGGTCCATGAGGTCCGAAAGGTTAGCGACCGCTGAGCTAGAGGAAGACGCAATATTATGCATGCTTAGCGCAGATCTGCAGATTGCGCTTAATTTGGGATGGTTACTTAATTTTTGAAAATTCAAACCTAATCTCATCAAAGACTTATGGGTTATGTGATAGTTTCATGCCAGCAGAAGATCGAGGAGTGATATGTGACACCGCCTATACTTCCGTACAATACTCTGCCCTGAACATAAAAGATGTAACCTTCAATATAGATTCTTCAGCTCAGTCAATGAACTTTCAAATTTGCTATGCATTTCACAGGTGACCAGGGGGCTGCTGAAGTAAGCAAAAAGACCTTGTTCTGATAATCCCGTTCTGGCCCAAAAAGAGTATGCTTCTTGACTCTTCATCTAATAGCAGTAGAACCTCCAGTAATACATCTGCTAAGAGATGATATGCTGTCACAAGGTCCAACACTTCACCCTCATATTAGACAGTTAAATCTAGCAGTTTGGTATCGGAGAAGAAGCTACTGAATTAGAAGGGTCTTTTCAATTGAGTGATTAGTTATTTCTTTGGGACTTGAAAGAAATCAAATACATTAAGTGTGGAGAGTTTTTTCCTCTGCGTGCGTTAAGTAAAATGATGGGGTTGAAAAAGGCCTTGCTGTCAGTAGCTTGCAGGTAAAAACTATAGCCCTAAGTATTTTCTTGGAAAGAAGATTGACCATGGTTCACACTAGCTGCCTAGAAGGCAGTGGCTAGATCAAGGCTAGTCTTGGTGAAGAGCTTTCATAGATGGGATCTCTCAATTGTTTATCAGGCTCTTACCAGAGAGACTGTCAAGCCATTATCTACTTCCGTAACAAAGTTTCTTTTTGTACATGCAGACGCAGGAGCAAAAAAAGAAAGAAGACTGAAAGCATCAAAGAGTTCCATTGCAAGATGGAGCAAGATCGCAATCAGGGAAGCAGATCTGGCAATAAAATTGGAGCTCCTTTTAGGTGTCCGGGCTCATTCTACTAGAGCTCTATTGGGCAGTAAAAGCTGGTGCTATGGTGGAACAGATATGCAGAGCGGTTTAGTGGTCAAGCTTTTCAGCTTTAATTCAGTGTTTACAGACTGTTGTCTGACGATGATCAGTCAGGACCTTAGCCTATAACTGGAAGAAACTTCACGGCAGTATTGACAGGTATACTAATGAAAGTTGTAAAAAGACTTGTTTTTTAAATTACATTAACAAGTTAAAAGATTATCTGAGCTTTTTGGAATTGGCTTTACATCTATTTTAACCAATAAGAAAAGTCCATACTGCAGAAATATTTCCAAGATAAAAATCACAGATTTATTGATAAAAAAAGAAAACATACCTTCAATCTCTTGACGATTTAGTACATCAGCAGCTACAGCATCGACTTCTATCTCACATGTGCTCTGTGGCTCTACTCCCTCCAGTAGTAAAGAGCTGTAAGATGTACAGTAATTTACACAACTCTGTTAGGTCATGGATATTGCTTTGACTTATTTTCGTTTGGTTTTGTTTGCAAACCATTAAATCCAAGTGTTCTTGTTCAGTTAACAACCGCCAAGGACACTAGCAAAAAGTAGCTATTACTTTACATGAAACAATACGGCAGTGTTTACTTTTATATATTTTTTTGCAAGCCTCTTAAGAGAATTGTGGTCATATGCTTTGGTTGCTGGTATGCAAACGTGCAATAAGAACAAAGTATGCTGAAGCTTGTACCATTGGTAACAAAGAACAGAGCTTTACGTTCTTTCTCTATGATGGAATGACTTTGAAAGGTCATGGTCACATAGACTTCCTCTTCTATTCCTTCAATTTAAAATAACCGTCTGATACTGTATATAGTTTAATTAACTTTATGTAAAGGTGTTCTTTTTTACTTTTCATTGTGTATTATATAATCTATCAATTTTCTCCAAGAACACTATTTTGAGTCTTTCTAAGGTGTGATAATCCTTTTTAAGTACAACATTGTGGAGCAAGAACCAAACGGCCAGTGTATAATAAAACAACACAAGTACAGAAAATATAAACCATCCTCTTTCTCAAATATTTTTCTGCAAACTAGAAGCAAAGGCCCCTATGCAATGGAAATAAGGATAGGGGTAGTTCAAAACTGGGGAGCTGCCTAGGGTGACAATGTTTCTACTCCATAGATACAGTGCGGTAAGCGAATATTGTCACCCTAGGACAGTACGTGTTATTGGCAAAATTACCAGGTGAAAATATAAAAAGCAGCCACCTTATCTAAGGACTGGTAAGCTGGAATAAAGTAACTTTTTGTTTCTGGGCTTAGATATGCTTTAACTATTTATTATTAGTGGCCTTAAATGCACAGTATGGTTTGAGTATTAAGTGTAATTAAGTGTTCCTTATATTTTGCACAAATTGGTCTTACAAAACCAGATTCAAATGTCACAAGTGCAGTAATAATTTTTTGTGCTCATATTTGCAAACCTGGCGATGTTTTCTTCTTCCCACTGCGTATATGTGGCTGTAAAAGAGCTTCCTTGGGTGGGATGTCCATGATCTTTTAAGACTTGTGACCCTTCCCCTAAAAAAAACAGAAGTCAATACCAGAAATATAAAATCTTTTGCTTTGTTCTATTCTTTGCATTACCATGCTGAATAGCATATTAGTTACATTTGATATGCACTGACTACATTTTACAGCAAAATACCAGAGTAGGAAAAACAAATGCCAATATAACAAGTAAAATAGCAAAATACCAAAGGCTACGAGGGGAGCAAAACAAATCTAGAAGAGGTAAAAGACAGATAAAACCGACAAACACATTGATATATTCACTTCTCTAAAGAAGACAGAAGCAATTTTTGTATTACCCTTTTCTGTAACAATGAAGAGAATCATTTGCAGAAGGGTTAATGTGAACACTGCAGTGGCAGGACATTAGATAACTCCTCATAATGTAAATGTACCAAGAAGGTCTTGCTTAGCAACAGACATAACTGAAGTGGAAAGAAATGAATAAGCAGTTTGGTACCTGCTTAAGCTAAAAGAAAAAAAAAGTTCAAACTTTAAAGAGCCTATATGCCTACACCAAAAAAGTAAATTAGGTGAATTTTACTAGAGGCATTTCACACAAATGCAGACAAAAAGGACACCTGTAAAGGAGCAGAGATATTTCCAGTGCAGTCTACTGTCCTATGTAAGCTTTCATTAGTAGTCAAACCTACCCTAACATAAATTAGTGACAAATATCATTTTTAGCGGCATTTAAAAAGAACTATGGGGTAAGTGGGTTTTCCCCATAGTTCTCTTTATGGTCATTGGAGGACATATACTAACCTCCTCCCATGACCCAAAGCTCAGTATAAAGCAGGTTGTTGCCCGCGATATACCGAAAGAAACCGCAGCCAGGACGGATCCCGACAATACTGTCGAGATCCACCAAGCTGTGTGAGTGACAGCTGGCTCCGCCTATATAGAGGCAGAGCCAGCTGTGCCCGCCTCCTCCCCTGTTCGTTCCTCCACTCAGCACTGGAGGATTGGAGAGGTGAGGCGGAAATCCCTGCCGGGAGCCATGGCTGACAGTCACCGCTCACTTCAGGGAGAGAGCGGGAAGTGAGCGGATCGGCTGCATGATTCTGCTCACTTCCCGACCAATAGAGCCGACCTGTGACAGCTTCTTTGCCACAGGTTGGCTCTAACTATGTGGATGAGTGGAAATCACTCACCTCATGGTTCTCCTTTAAGCACAGAACCTATAAATAATTATGCCAGTTATTAAATGGGTAACTTGTTAGTTATTATTATTAGTTAGTATTCCTGTTCGTTATTTCTTTCTAAATAATTAAGACAAAATTGAGCTGAGCGTTTAAAAACATGTCTCATCTAGATTTTAAATATCTTCCTTTCTTTCTGCTTTAAAAAAAAATAATTGTAATTAACCCTTGCAGTGGGGCTACCCCCATACTGCAAGGGTTAACTGCTCGTTTTGGTCTAGGGAGGAATATAAAGTTATACTCACTTGCTCCTCCGAGCTGGACATCTGTGACACCGACCCTCCTGCCAGTGTCCTCCTCTGCTCCAGTGACAGTATGTCCCTTGGCATCCTCATGTTCTATATACGGTGTATAGAACATGATGACTCAGCGACCGTAGACCGCTGCAGTGGAGGGGGAGCGAGGCCGGAAGGACCAGTCTAGAAGCATGCGGCTCGGAGGATCGGGCGAGTATAACTTTTAAATTTTTCTCCCTAGACCAAAACTAGCAGTTAGCCCTTGCAGTGTGGGGGTAGCCCCACTGCAAGGGTTAATAAAACAAAATTGCCTGGAGTTCTTTTTTCAAGTGACACTAAACTCAGTCGTTAAATCTTACAAAACGTGTTAGAGTGCCTTAACGTTTATTAAAAAATGTAGTTCATTTGCGCATCGTTGCATGGGAAACAAAAGTAGCCACCCTCCAGGGGGAAGGACATGGTCAGCATCAATTCAGCTGAGTGATACACAAATAAGATACATTTGTGTTAACAGTTAAGACAGTTACTGTAACTTGAATGCATTCTTAAGTTTGCTGAGCATGAAGGGTCGGTTTTTGATGAGCCTGGAGCGGAGGTAAGAAGAGTAGGGGCAGATCATTTAACAATAAGCATGTATCCAGGTCCATACACGGATGTCAAAACTCTGACCAGCGGGAAGTAGCTCCTTCTCATAGGTCCTTCCTCGCCACAGAGTTGAATGAGCTGCCCGCATGCTTCTTTACGCAGCTCCAGGTACATCCACCTATGGCCCTTCACGCTGTACGGAGAAAATTGCCCTATGTGAATGAGGCCTTAGTAACTGTTTAAAGCAAAACGTCAGGCAAGCAACAGTGTATCATCTTATGTCGTTTAGAGTCTGCTTACTGAACAATGAATCAGCAACTAGCAATTTACATATTCATAAATCAAATGTGTATTAAGCAATTTGCCTGGAGTTCAGGGCTCCCACATTCAAAAAGAAGCAGGCCACAAAGAAATATAATTGCCTTTCCATTTCAGTGTTAACTTGGGTCCTAAGCAATCAATAAAGACATTGACCATGAATTTGTCAAGATTAATTTCTGCTTCTAAGCTAAAAGAAAGAAAGACCTTCAAACGTGAGCATACAGGCTTTAAATGATTCAGAAGGTCAATTAGGGTAGAATTGCTGCACAGAACTATAGATATGGGATTGACTTAGGAGGAGGCCTAAACAAGAGTGATGCTAACACAATTCGCTCAAAACTGTAATGTATGTTGCGATTACATAGTACCTGATATTCTATTGATGTTAATATAGGGATCATTGCAAAAGGGAGAGAGAGCATGAGCAAACAGGTTTTACTTTCTGCTGTATAAAAAAAGTACTGTATACTGTATGTACACTTCTCTGGAAACTCCAATATGATCCCAGCTTTAGCAGTCCCAAAGAAGAAGAGTAAAACTAAGTGAGGTGAAAGCTATGGGAAAAATATTTCTGGATTCTGCCCTTTGGAGGAGCTGACTGAAAGTTCTACAAACAGCTCCATGGAAACAAGAATTTAAAGCAAGCCTAGCATGACTCAGTACTGTTTGACCAGAATGAACACTAAATCAATTCCAGATGCACTAACTGACAGGCAGCAGCCGGGAGGTGGGGCAGCTGCTACATGACCTCTTATTAAAAGATCATGACTTGCCTGCATTCACACATCAGACATGTAGCCTTTTACAGAATCTTAGGGAGACACAAACTCCTTCAACTAAAGTAAAATACACAAGGTCCTGGTAAGAAACATTTTTAGGCATTGAGGAAGAATAAGGATTAAATGTTTCCACAGATCCCATGAGCATGCATTTGCCAGTGCTAATCAGCTGTTCACCCATGGGACAGACACCCTTAGGGCTTGTTCACACCATAAACAGTGTGTTTCAGAGTGGTCAGCAGCTGGAACGCACTGTATCACATCCCAGCCAGCTTCCTGCATTCAGGGGCGGGAGGTGTATTGAAGTCAATGGCACCGCAGCCACGCCCCCCACCCGCAGTGTGATCGGCCGCAACAGAACGCATGCCAAAAATTGCAGCATTTTTTTCAGATCACACTAAACTGGAACGCAGGCATTGTTTGCCATGTGTTCTGATGTGGGCGATAGCACAGGTGGTGGAGGCATGGCTGAAGTGCCATTAACTTCAATGCAGTGCCACGCACAGGGATGCGATACAGTGTGTTCCAGAAGCTGTTCGCTCCGGAACGCACTGTTTATGGTCTGAACAAGCCCCCAGTCCATCAACATAGCACAAGCAATAGTTGGGTAAGCATCATACAACTGCTTAATAGTAGGGGTCAAGGATGGCAGAGCTTCTTTGTAGTTTTAGTGAGTTATCCAATCATGCAGCCCAATCTTTACCAAATAACATTTACACTATGGCATGACCTGTGGAATGGTTCACATTCTGCTCTGAATGTGCCTAAATGATGTCTGAGCAGTAGAGGTTTTAATTTACAAGCACAATAATAATTACAAACATAATGTCAAGGATTAGAGTTGCATTGCACAATTAAATTTCAGCAATTATGAGTTACCTAAAATATAGGTTTATGCCAAGCCTATGGGGTTGTTTTTTTTGTTTGTTTTTTTACCAGGACTGAGGATATTTCATTTGAGTTCTATATCATGACGATATAGTCTGAAGAAGCACCCAGATCACAAAATGCAATCTAATTAGTCAAAACGTAGTCATTCCAACAATAAAGGCCGTGACACACTGCACGCGAAGCCGTGCAGAGCGAAGCAAAGATCTCCGGCACGGAGCTTCGCGTGCAGTGTGTGAGCCGAGTGCAGTCAGATGATTGACTGCGCCTTCAGCCAATCGGCTTGTCTGTAACAACCGGCCAGACGTCGCATCGGTTTATACGCGCGAGCCGATTGGCTGAAGTTGAAATTGTTCATCTCGGCACGCTCAGCTCTGCGAGCTCTCGCAAGCTGAGGTGCCGAGAAGAAAATGACATGACACACTGCTCGCAAAGGCAGCGCGCCACCGCTCCGCGCTGCTTCGCCTGCAGTGTGTCACGGCCTTAATTCTTTAAAATTTACATAAAGCATCATGCTCAAAAACGTCACCTTTTCTCCGGGCCCGTCTGAACTTCACAGCAGCGAGATTTATCAGGTTCATCCCATATAAATTGTAGTCTATGAAGAGCTGTAGAAGGTAGGGGACATGGGCCTCATGAGGCTGGTAGCATTTATTCATTACAGCTCCACCTTGTAGCAGTTCACTCACTCTGGTTAAAGAAAGAAAAAAAAACACAGAAAAATGACAAAATGTTTAAATGTGAAAAGAATATTCAGCTTTTAGATGTATTGTACCAAAGTAACAGGAGACCTTGAAGTACAGTTAGGGCCCCATGTATAACAGGGCAGTCGTTACTATCCACAAACTGCAGGACATCTCTAGAAATAATCTACACTAGTCCTAGCAAGTTAACAGTATGGAGCCTGCAATGTCCTGTGGTGGTGTTCTCTGCATATTGCAGTACAGAAGCCTTGTGGATAGGAAGTAAACCATGTCACATGGAAGAGTTTGAGTTCCTTCTCGTAGAAGGTGTTTTTTTCCTTTAATATAAAACACACAGCAGTGCTTCATAAATGTCCTGGGGGAGCTGGTACTGAATGAAGACATGTTTGCACTGACCAAGTAGATTTAGAGCATTTATAAATACCGTGTTTTGGGGGTTTTTTTAATTAGAAAAGTAGTGGTATTGTAAGGGATAGGGCATGATGCTGCTTTATGAATGGGCCACTTAGGTTTGAGCAAACGGTGTCAGGTGGATTTGAACGAAAAATTGTTCATGTTCCTCAGCAGCTGGATCTCCTGTAATAACACAAATCATTACACTATGATCTGCGTTATTGCAACATGTAATCATGCACTGTGTTAAGGCAGTACACCTTAAAAACGGTGCCTGTCTGATATTAATGCAGTGCTCTGCAATGCAACGTACAGCACTGTGTGCTGCAGTGCCGAAGGGTCGACCACTGCTGTGACAGTGCATTGTGGTGGCATTCAAAAAGAACTGCACCGCAATTCACCACTGCATGCAGGTCTTACTGCACATTATCATAATACATCAATGTGAAGGGAGCCTCAAAGTTTCAGAAATCTGTGGTGAAATGCTACAAAAAAAAAAAATCAATTATGCATAAGTGTAGACCACTTGTCTACTGCAGATTCTGTACAGCAGGGGTAGGCAAACTCAACCATCCAGCTGGAGTGAAACTACAAACTCCATCATGCATCTGCCTCTGGGAGTTATGACTGTGGTTGTCAGAGCCTTAAGGTGCCCATACACCTTGCGATGGTCGTATGCTTATTGAAAGCTCGTACAATCTGCCCACCTTGGACGGGCAGATCGTACTTGTGATCATCGAAAGCCCGCCCCGCTGAGGGGCGGGCTTCCGATGACCGCAATGCAGAACGTGCAGTGTGTGCGTGCGCACCCCGGCCCGTTCCGCAGCTATCGGACGAGCAGGCTAGAAACCCGCCGACAATCGTACGATTCTCGGCGGGTTTTCGAGCATGTTGGTTCGACAAAAGACGTGCGACCGTACAGTAGAAACTGTCGCACGTCTTCGTTCACACTGCTCGATTCTCGTACGATCGCGGGATTTCGCCCGATTCTCGTACGAGAATCGAGCAGTGTATGAGCACCTTTACAATACCTAATTGGATTTGTAGTTGAACAACACCTGGAGGACCTGAAGAAGTTTACCTATCCCTGCTGTAAGGAAATGTGGACTACCACAAGACAGGTTTTTAAAAGAAAGAAAATGTAATCCCCCTTACCCGAGCTTTACCATTGACATGCATCAGGGTTGATATTAACAGGACATGTTCTGCAATACTTTCCCATTATAACACTACCAGTCCTACTGCTCTGTTAGGCCTTCTTCACACCAAGCGCGGAGCAGGTGCAGAGCAGATCAGTTGCAGACCGGATCAAAACTGCGTCCAATGTATTCCAATGGTATTTTTTGCTCCAGCAGCAGGCCCTATTTTTACCTGCTCTAGATCTGCAAACGCATCAAAAACGCATGCAAATGCCTGGAAAGCACTGAAAGCCCATTTTAAAAAAAACTTTTTTTTAGCCAAAAACGCATCAAAATTTCCCATTATAACACTACCAGTCCTACTGCTCTGTTAGGCCTTCTTCACACCAAGCGCGGAGCAGGTGCAGAGCAGATCAGTTGCAGACCGGATCAAAACTGCGTCCAATGTATTCCAATGGTATTTTTTGCTCCAGCAGCAGGCCCTATTTTTACCTGCTCTAGATCTGCAAACGCATCAAAAACGCATGCAAATGCCTGGAAAGCACTGAAAGCCCATTTTAAAAAAAACTTTTTTTAGCCAAAAACGCATCAAAAACGCATGCAAATGCCTGGAAAGCACTGAAAGCCCATTTTAAACTTTTTTAAAAAAACTTTTTTTTTAGCCAAAAACGCATCAAAAAGACTAGCGTGCAGAAACCTGACCGGATCTGCTCTGCATTTGGTGTGAACAAGGCCTTAGACGATGAACTTAACAGGTGAACAAAGCCACCAGTGAGCACATACAGCTGCCACCCAAGTCTTCATTAAATCATTAACCCATTTGTTATAACAGTCAGTCCTGTACATCTGTCTAAAAACTGATCATGAAATTTGCCAGTACAGACTGGGTTATTTATGGAAAACACAATCCCCCAGACCCCTCCAAAACATCACATAGAAAGGGAGAGACCAAGTAGGGTTTTTCAGTCCTTACGTTTTCAGGGGGAAAACAAACAAACATGTAAAAGATAAGCAGTAATGCAATGTGAACAAATATAAAATAGGTGGTTTCCCGATTTGGCTGCAAAAGTGGAAATACACTTCAAGGTTGCTTGATGAAGTAATGTGGTTTATGGAGTTGCACTTTGGCTAATGGCAATACAGAAAATGTGTTTTCTATTAACACGTACCATTTCCTCAGTACAGCACTTGCTATCTCTGGTATCAAAGTTTTAAGCAAATAAAACCACAATCTTCAATTGTAATACAGTTAGTTATGAAAAGTAAAACAAAAATCTCTGTTCCTTCTTTAGGGCTTGTTCACACCATGTCCGGACCAGAACCTTTTGGCCCAAAACCTAAAATACATCCCAATGTATTCCTATGGCATTTCTGGGCTCTGTTCACACCAGTGCAGGGGGAATAGTGCTGCATGCACTATTTTTGCTGTAATGCACCAAACCGCATGTAAACGCACTGGACTTCACATAAAAGCCAATTTTAAGCTTAAAAAAAACTGCACAGGAACGTGTCAAAAAATCATTAAATATGCGTCAAAACCGCACTGCACCGCGTTTGCAGATCTGCTCCAGATCTGGTCCGGAAATGGTGTGAACAAGCCCTTAAGTGTATTTACACTTTTGCAGCCAAATCGGGGTAACACTAACTTTATATTTGATCTCATTCACATAGCATAAAAAAAAAATTAAACATGTCTGCTTACATTTATATTTGCTGAAAAATCTTACTCAGCTTTCCCTTTCCAAGTAATGTTTATCAGGGGGCTGTGAAATGAATGCTTATCATAATAAACCCTGTCTGTACAGTGCTGGCAGATCTTTGTTATCAGTTGGAAACTAGGTGTATACGGTCAGTCCTAACAAAGGGTTAAAGAATTCAAAGCCAGGGTGGTAGATTGTATGGTCATGCACTAAATAAAATAAACTGTCCCTCAATCTGTTTCCTAATTGCACAGTGCAACTTTTTCTGAAGAATAGAAACTGCCTATAGTGTCTGCTCCAAGGAAACTAGAAATGTAAGAATTTGTTTTTAGGTTTACTATGTGTGAGTGGGAACACAAACTTATAGTGGGGCTTTCTAAAATGTATTTTTATTTATTACAGGTATTTATATGGCGCAAACAATTTACACAGCACTTTACATTGTTGCGCATTCATATCTGTCCCTACACTTAAGGTGCTTACAATCTAATCTCCCTATCTTACATGCATACACTCATGCTTTAAATGTTCCTAAAACTACTCTCCAGAAATTCTATTTCCACCAACACACGGATGCTGGCACCTAAAGGGAAATAATTACAAGAAAAGAATTGTGATTTAGTCCCCATGAGTCTCTTAAACAAAGCACTATAATTATGCACCTGTAATCATAGTGTAGTTTGTGGCTTTACTACTGGGAACTTATCCCGAGAGTAAGGCACTTGCTGATTGAACAATAAGTGTAGGATGGCAACACTCCTCTAAGGTGAATGCCAGCACAAGGTTAGGAAAGAAACAAATACGAAACTGTGTCCTTGCTCAGCAAACTGGCTGCACTAAAACGTTAGCCTGTGTGAGGGAGGCTCCTGTGAAGTATAGCCTAACCTACTGTGAGACGCACAAGCATTGTTTTAGGCAGATTACATCATTCCACCTGGCTTTCTGGTAACTGTAAATGTTATCTGCATCTTCTGCACTCAATACCACTGCACCAAAGTCATACAATAAATGAAGATGAGGTAGTGATAGTCCCTCCCCATTCAGCAGCTCAAGAAAGTACACATTCGTTATATATCTATATTACCTTATTCTCAAGTTACATTTTATTTTGAACATTCCATACAGAAAACAGAAAAATTAGGCAATTTGAAATGTTTACCGTTTCACCATGGCTGGATTGTACAGATAAATCTTCATGAACTGCCTTTCCTTTTCATGAAACCCATAAAAAGGTCTGTAAGAAAGGATACAACACAAACGGTTAGTAACGTCAGGACAAGTACTGGCTGGTACATAGCCATAGGTCTGTAACATTTAAAGTCCCTACCTTTCGGGGTCCGTTCACACCAGCAGAGTTGGGCTGCGTTAGAATATGTTGCCCATTTTGCCCTAGCGTTTCAGTCCTGAAAAAAGCAGGTCATTTTTGCCCAGTCCTTTCCTACACACTTTGCAATGTGTTTTAACATTAAAGTGCATGATCACAATGCACACCAGCATTATACGCACATTAATGCACGCTGTGTGGGGTGAATGGGCCCCTAAATCTAGATGACATATTTTAAAGCTATCAGTAATAAACCCTTAAATGACCGGTCATACCAAAAAGGTATATTTCAGTTATAGGTGGAATCTGGCAGGATGAATAACTCCCTGGCTTCTTTAATCTCATAGGTGCTCCAACAGTCAGATCTCTATGCCATAGTTTCTATCCACCTTGGATACTTGAGCTGGCCTAAGATTCCTGCAAGGTAACATATATACAACAGTAAGGGCCCGTTCACACCAGTTGCCTGCCACGCCACCTCCTGCCCCACTAAAAAGTGAGCCGGCCGCAATGTGAGGCAGTGCGTTTTGGCCAGAATTGGGTCAAAACGCACTGCAACTGGTGTGAACGAGGCCTACACCAATCACTCTACACACAGTGACCAGTCTATTACATGAGACACCTACACAGAGGCAAAGAGTTGGACTGGTGTCATGTTGGAATACAGCACAGATCTGGAAAAATAAAAATACACTACGACAAACAAAATTCAAGTAACAATACGCATGCCTCTTGTATTTTGGCAATTATTAATGTAGCTTTAAAAGAGAACTTTACTGAGTGGCCAGATTATTATGACCACCCCATCAATACTTCGTTGGGCTACGAGATGACTCCACGAGATGTTGAAAGGTGATGCAAGGAATCTGACACTGCACTGTTGCCCTTCTGTTGTCTTGTACCAGTCTTGCCACTCTCCGTTCTGCCCTAACATTGACTAGTCGCTGACGGCCACGATTCGCACGTTCAGACCCAGATTTTCGGCTGACAGTCCAGTCTTTAAACACTTTAACAACATCTGCTCTTGAACATTTAATGAATTCTGCTGTTTTGCTGATACTCACTGCATGGCTCTGAGCGCCAATAATCATCCCACGTTCAAAGGCTGTTATATCGCGTTGTTTACCCGTATCTTCAGAAAAAAAAAAATCACTTCTACTGTCGTGGTAAACAACCTGCTTCCCTATTTATAATGGTCTGGCCCTCTACCAACTTCAGCGCGAATTATAGCTAATTTGCCTACAAACGTCATGTGGTCATAATATACTGGCCACTCAGTGTATAGCCCAACCTTTTTTTGCCATACTTCTCTTCAGGGTCATAGGAAGACAGATACTAATGTCCTACTGTGACCCAAAACTCAGCAGCCCACTATATGCTGACAGCGCAGAGCCGTACCGCACCTGGGACAGATCCCGACAATATTGTTTGACAGTGATTGACAGCTGACTCTGCCTAGAGTTGCCGCCCCTTCCCCCATCTGCCCCTCCACCCCTCCAGTCAGTGCTGGAGGAATAGAGGGCGGGGGATCCCTGCGGGAAGCTGTGACTGACAGATGACCAGGAACCAAGCGATCAGCAATATGTGATCACTCAGTTCTCGATCAATAGAGCCGACGTGTGACAGCTTCAGTGTCACCGGTCGGCTCTAATTATGGGAGTGAATTTCCCTCTCCCCATAATTCTCCTTTAATTTCTTTTTATTGAGTTGGAGAAACACACTGAAAGCTAAAAATTAGCTCCCAGCAGGTGTAAAGCTATTTACAGTCACAGCATGTGAGGACTGGGTGTGTTCATTGCTCGGTCAAATTAATATGATGCTTCCATGGGTTCTGAACACAAACTAGTAAAGAATACCATCCAAAACTGCACTCTGACCAAAACAGCAAAGGAGAGTACTTGCAGTGCATGCAGGGTCCCTTCCTCAAGGCGACACAGTGACTACATGTGTAAGGGACCCAGTAGGGCCCTGAAACTGTTTTCACCTATGCAACGCTTTAATAGATTTACACGTTTCTTTTTTTTTTCACCATGGAGTGCTGGTAACCCTTCTTCCATTTGTGATTAGTCACACATGGTGCCATCTGTTGCTTTCAAGAACTTCAAGAACCCTCCTTTGCTATTTTGGTGAGCAAGCGGTATCGGCAGAGTGAAGTTTTGGATTGTATGATCTACTACGTTTGTATGTAGACCCCATGGAAGCATCATATTGCAAAATAGGCCTCTATTATTGTTACATGACCAAATACAATAAATCACACATTTAAATGTATTTATGAATAAATTATTGTGCTTTGGTTTAAGCTCTCCTTAAGGCACACTATACAGTACATGCCAATACAATTAGATGAGTATTAATACAGTGACAATTAGTCAAAGTGAATTTGTAATACTTTAATGGCAGTGAAGTCTTTCAAACTGTGCAGGACCTTTCCATTCAGGCCTCATTCACACAGCTAAGTGTCGGCCCTTACAGATCCGTGCAGCGTGCACGGCCGTATCGGGCCGCTCTCGGGAAGGACAGGTGCTGCGTATGATTGTACGCAGTAGCCTGTTCTTCTCTATGGGAGTACCCGGCCGTACACTTATCTGAGCTGCACATCCGTGAGGGTGCTTCTGTCCATACTCTTACGCGGGCAGGATGGTTCCCGTCTGCATCCGAGAACGGACACCCGCACGGATGTGCAGTTTGTGTGAGCATACGGCGGCATACTCCCATAGAGAAGAACAGGCTGCTGTGAACAGGCTGCTTCCCAGGAACGGCCCGATACAGCCGTGCACACCGCACGGATCTGTACGGGCCGACACTTAGCTATGTGAATGAGGCCTTAATACTCTGTAAATATAAGCATCTGTCCAGGAAAGGTTTCAGGAATTCACCAATTTCTTTTTCCATCTCTGTTGCCATCTTTAGAGCCTGGATTGCATTTAATAAGCCTCTGGCAAGCAATGAACACTGCCGCCATTTTACACACAAAGAAGTGTAGAAGAAACTCGTTATCATATGCCAATTAATCATGTATAATGATGGCCTACAATCAGTACTGTATGTTATAGATTGGCATAGATTAAAAAAAAAAAAAAAAGGTAACCAGTGGGACACAGGTCTTGCTGAAAAGGATAGCACCTCACATTAAAAGAATAAGCACGCTTCTAAAAACACCACCAAGGCTCTTGTCAGTCTAATTTAATTTGCATTAAACCAGGCACATTCAGAAAGCTTTGAGCTGTGTATTTATTGAGTTATAGTAACCACTTTAAGACCACAGCATCTCCTCTTTTAAAGGGATGTACACTTCCTTTTGGTTAGTGAACAAAAAAAACAACACATTTAGTCCTTATAGCTTATCCTAGCACTTATGCATCTTCCTGAAAGACCTAGCTTAGCAGCTGTGAATGGATATATTTGTATTGCACAGTAGAAAGAGCAATCCCCAAAAGACCTCAAAGTATAATCAGCAAAGTGTTCCAAACAGGAGGATATCACGTAAGTGGGATTTTTACATAACACATTGTAATTTTAAGGCCCAAAGTCAACATTTACCTTTCAGTTTAAGAGAGTTACCTTTTGACAAAATATCACAAATCACATAGGTAAAAAATGTTTGCCTAAATTGTTAAAGTAGTTTTAAAGTGATATTAAAGGAAAAGGGTATATCACTTACAGTGGATGTTGCTCCCTGATGTGTAAAAAGTTTGTTTCCTGCAGAATCAGCTGGTCCTCTGAGCACTGGTCCTGCTATCCTGTTTTAGGGGGGCTCCTTTCCCTTGCAGGGTCCTATGGAGCCACCCTTGTCTCTGCTAGTAAGTAGTCTTTTTTGAATTAGTAGAAGGACAGCTGCTGGAGTCTGGTTTGTCCCTTGTCATCTTGTACTGGACAGCAAGTTCAGGGAAGCCAAGCTGAGAGAGTGAGTCAGCTGTTAGGAAACATGATGACTGCAAGTGTTTGGGCAAAAGTGTAAAGAAATAACTTCCTGTGCAATGTAGGTTTGAGAGTTTAAATACCACTTTTAATTGCTCAAATATTTTAATGATGCCAGAATAAATTATATATATATATA